GAGAGGTGTAGGCACACTGGGGAGTTCAGGGGGACATGTGCTATGGTGAGGGCCAAACATGTACAGTTTTGAAAGTGTGGGTACCCAAGTGAAAGTTGCAGGTGAGATGTTGAACCTACGGTATGTGGGGGTTGGTATGGCACCTGTGCAGACAAAGGTAAGAGCGTGGGGGAGTGAGAACATATGGGGAAGAAAGGGAGTCAGGTAGCATGGTGGTGAAAATAGAGGGGGCTTTTGCAGACATGGTGGTTAGAGTGGGAGGGGAAAAAGTGTGCAGGAACAGTGGTGAAATCCAATGGGCATTGCATTGGCGTGGGAGTGTGTGCAAGCAAAGAGTTGAGAGTTGAGGTGGGAAACATGAGGGGATGGCCTCTTAAAAAAAAAAAATAGCGAGCCTTTACTACATGTACACAATAGTATCTGTGATAGCTGAGCCATCTTCTACAAAAATAAAAGTTCTGCTTTCCTGAAAGCCTCTACTATTTGGGGCAAATCCTGCGTGTGCAGAATCACATTTTGGAGAGGAGACGTGCAGTAGTAAGGTGAGGAGGCATGGGGAGCAGAGGAATGAAAAGATTGTCTAGAAACAGAGGTAGTGAGTATTTAGGATATGTGGCCGAGCACAAATTAGACCCCGCCCTTACGACGGGACCCACCATCTTCCTGAAATGTAACGTCAGCATTTTGCCTTTACTTTCTTGCAGTGTGCAGGTACATTTCTTAATTAAAACACTTTACCACTAGGCACGAGGTGCAGGTTCAAAGCATTGGGCTCAAGGCAGATTTCAATGTTTCACAAAGGTGCAAGGTGAGCTGTAATTCTAGATGCCTGACCATGATGGCAAGCCAAGGTCCCATATGTGTGCATATCCCTACACTTCCCCAGCTAATTGATTTTACACTGAATTTTGGCGGTGTTTAGTACTCCTACATATACAGTATTTGTTCATATAGGCCAGGGATGTCCAAACTCCAGCTGTGGTGAAACTACAAATCCCATGATGCATCTCTCCGGGAGTCATGTCTGTGGCTGAGAATCTTGCAAAGCATCATGGGATTCGTAGTTCCACCACAGCTGGAGGGCCGCAGTTTGGACATCCCTGATATAGGCCAACTGAAGCATGTTATATAATAGAAGCAGCAAGCTCTACTGCAATTTTGATACAATTGACATCCAGCAGCAGCTCAGTATGTCAATTATAAAGCAAACCAGCCTTTCCTGTCCTTAGATAAGACTATTATGTACCTAGTAGCCTGGCCAAGCAAAACAGGTCTTAGCCCTGTGTATGTATTTTATATTAAAGGGGTTCTAAAGCCTCCGTTTTTTTTGCCTATATCTACTGCTGGCAAAAAACGATTTAACAGCGGTTTAAACTTACCCCATTATCGCTGCGTGCTCCCGCGCCGAGAATCCGGAACTGCTCGTGCGGCCGCAAAGGATCTTGGGGCTGGCGCATGCGCAGTTCGGATTCTCGGCCGAGAGACGAGCAGAGACGCAAGGTAAGTCTATGGACGCGTGCATCCACATGCAGACACCGCTGGATCGGAAGTGCCTGCAAGCAGAGAGGAGTCAGCGCTGGATCGGAGAGCCGCCGCACTGCTGGAGGGACAGATGAAAACATCAGGAAAGAAGATCGGAATAAGAGACATCATTTAAGGTAAGTGCTGACATTAACATTGGGGGGAGGGAAAACAAATTTGACTTTAATGTCACTTTAAGCAGTGGCAAGTGTGTCACAGGCAAAAGGAGATAATTCCTTTTGCTATGATTGGCGTGTGGGGAGTAATTCAGTTTCCTTCCTACCAAACCAGAACAGCCAAGTCTACCTTTCGACATGCTTTACCTTTTGAGCAGTACTGCAGCATATATGTCTGTCATAGGTGAAGCAGGTGCTTCAGGCCTTTGATATGACTTCACATGTGCACAATGCATCTCTGCCTATCTGGCCTAGTCTTTGGTATGTTTGCTATATGGGGCAGTGACTCCGTTTGTCACAGGTAAAACATGCAAGTCTGGCCTTTTGATATCATCGACATGTGAATAGTGACCGATATTGACCTTGGCATGGTAGAGTAGGCGACTCTAGCATTTGGTGTAGTCAACATATTGGAACAGTGGCTTGGGGTGGAAGATAATTAGGGTGATGCCCCTGACATGTCCAGTCCACTTTTGAAGTATTGCGTGGAATGTGTCAGACTAATACAAACAAAAGAAATGAACATGAGAATGGCGAAACATTTGGAATTGCAACAATTTTCTGCGCAAAGTGCTGCATTATCTGACAAATGCAGGGCTGCATTTGTATATTTGGCCGTGACTGTATACACACACACACTTATAAATGTATGTTCAGTATTTATATAAGAGGCTGAAAGATTTCTTGAAACGTATTAATAAATTTTATTCGGACAAGCAAATAAACTTGTATTACAACAGAGCTTTAAACAGCATGATTAAAGACTCCCAGTACTCCAGTGAGCACAGGCAGATATGTACATTTTATATGAAGACCAATAGTGATGCACCTCACAGCTGATCATTTTCAAGTTAAAAAAAGAAACTTGACTTGAAGTACATGAACTAACGCATTTTCTTCAGGCCATGACCAGCATGAAAACGAATTAGAACAGAGGTACTTAACAGCAATGTTGCCTGCCTAAGTACAGCAATATGCTGCATTTAAGGATTAAAATCATTCTAATGTAGTGTTAGCAGGGAGCCATTAAGAAAGAAAAAAAGGAATGTTCTCCATTTCTAATACGTTTTTTAATAAAAATTCCTTTTGCAATTAATACTGGAAATTCTCTACAACGATAAGGAAGTGTTATGGAGACAATTCACTGTAGGGCGCGGGTAATAAAACAGTGCTACTGCATAAGACGAGCCACTTTACTACCCATTCAGAATATGGGCACCGGCATAAGAAAATGTGTTATGGCACAGCAGTCCTCCATATGCTCCTGCAGTGAAAGATGTAGGGAGTGAACATCTGGGATAGATCATGGCAATGTAGACTACAATCTTCCCCTCTAGTAGACAGAAGTTACTCGTCAGAGTCCAAGTTTCTTGACATCTCAGGAAGACAGAAGATTTTAAGGCTTTGGTGGCAATCCTCTGAGAGTTTGTGGTTCCTCCTCCCTACTGTATGTAGAAAAGGCCGCAGACAACACTGTCTGGGGTTAGTGTTCTAGGAGGCCTTTGTTAGTAGGTGGAAGATGCGGTGCTCACGGCATCATCAGCAAGTTTGGTGTTAGCAGGGTGTATGCTGGCAAAATACTTGACATCATTATCGTAATCCATCTGTAAAGCTACAATTGTCTGCTCCACAGCTTCCTGATGTGAATTTGCAGCAGTCAAAAAGTATTCTGCAAAGAAAAAGACAGAACATTGAAAAACAGATCGGAGTTTATAATTGCGTCTCACAGCAAATAATAGACAAACATAAAACGATATCAAACGATCTGCATGACTCGGGACAAACAAATCTACATTTGTAAAACATATCAGGCAGTCCAAGAGAATGATGGGATATAAAGAGAGTGAGCCTCAATGGACTCCCAAAAAATGATTTGACGGTATCCTATTTTTACCTTCCATTGAGGGAAGTGGCTTAGAAAGCAACTTGGGGACATTTGAAGAATAACTCCAAGCAGAATTATGCTTAACCCTTGCAATGCAGGGATGGCCCCACTGCAAGGGTTAAATGCTTGTTTTCGTCTAAGGACCTGTGAGCCATGTCCTACACAATGTATAGAACATAAGGATGCCAAGGGACATTCCGTCTCTGGAGAGGAGGAGATAGGCTGAAGGGACCAGTCTAACAGCCAGCCGGCTGCAAGGGTCAGGCTAGTATAACACTTTTTATTTTTGTCACTAGACAAAAAAAGAGCACTTAACCCTTTCAATGCGGGGGTAGCCCAACTGCAAGGTTTACGGTGAATTCTGCCCAGAGTTCTTCTTCAAAAGGAGTCCAAACTGAGGAGTGGGCACACCCAAACACACAACCAGCACAACAAAAAGGGAAACCAAAGTCACTGAATAGCCGCTTGAAGTACCTTTCAACTGAACCTAGCACTGTGGCAGTACACGCATCAACCTTGTAGAGCTTAGAGATTGTATACAAACAGGTTGCAGCCTTCCAGATCTGAGACACGGGAGGCCTGATGATGAAAAGCCCAAGAACCACTCACCACCATAGTGGAGGTGGCTTTACCGGGAAAGGGAGGTACATTGCAACTCATTAGGCCTGCACAGTAACCTGTAGAAACCACTCAGAAATAACGGATCTGGAAGCTGGATGACCTCTTAAAACCTTCTGAAATAAACAAGGAATCAGCTTGCCTCAAAATTTCTCAGGCAAAATAGGCTAAAAAAGAGATTTAACGGACTCTGAAAAGTAAAAAAAAATAGGGATGCACCGATATATCGGCCGAAAATGGCACTTTTGGCTAAATGCTGGGTGCTGCTCTGTGTCCCAGCGGGGAGAAGAGAAAGTGAAGCCGGCCAAACGCTGTGAGCGGCCAGCGTCTCTCCTCCTACATCGCTCAGCCTCCTGTCACAGTCCAGCAGAGCGGTGTGTGGGTGGAGACAGCCAGCGCTGTCACAGGAGGCGGATCTCTCCTCCCTGCACCGCTCGCTCAGCCTCCTGTGACAGCGCGTCAGGATCGAGAGCTCAGCCTCCTGTGACAGCGCGTCAGGATCGAGAGCTCAGCCTCCTGTGACAGCGCGTCAGGATCGAGAGCTCAGCCTCCTGTGACAGCGCGTCAGGATCGAACCATTCATGATTCTAGTTATCGTAAGCACACAATGTTCTCATGTTATGAATGAACAGGAACACTCAGAGGATTCCTGATCATTGATAACAGGGGCTGCAGAAAGAGATTGAAGACTTTTTCTATTTTTAAAGGGAAATATTAGGGGGTCTGTTTAGACCCCTAATATTTCCCCAAAGCCCCTAAAAGTAAAGTTAATAAAAATATTTAATAAAAAAAGAAATACAAAAATAAAATATTTTAAAAAATTAAAATAAAAAGCATTTTCGGTTTCGGTCTGACAATTTTTTATTTCGGTTTTGTTTTGAAATGTACATTTCGGTGCACCTCTATCAAAAATTGTAAAAAGTCTTTGAGGGATGCAGCACTCTTGAAATTGCTAAGATATTGGGGAGTGATGACAGAACCATCAAATGTTTTGTTGGAAATAGTCAACAGGGTCGTAAGAAACGTGTTGAGAAAAAAAAAAGATGCAAATTAACTGGCAAAGATTTGAGAAGAATGAAACGTGAAGCTACCAGGAACCCATTATCCTCCAGTGCTGTCATATTCCAGAACTGCAACCTACATGGAGTGCCCAGAAGGTGTTCAGTGCTCAGAGACATGGCCAAGATAAGGGAGGCTGAAATCCGGGCGCCACTGAACAAGACACATAAGTTGAAGCGTCAAGACTGGGCCAAGAAATATCTGAAGACAGATTATTCAAAGGTTTTATGGACTGATGAGATGAGTGACTCTTGGCAGACCAGATGGATGGGCCCGTGGTTGGATCAGTAACAGGCGCAGAGCTCCACTTCAACTCAGACGCCAGGAAGGTGGAGGTGGGGTACTGGTGGGCTGGTATTATTAAAGATTTGCTAGTTGGACCAGTTTTTAGAAGACACTTTCTTCAAGCAGTGGCACAGGAAAAAGTCTGCATCTTTCAAGCAGACCATGATATGTATGCAGGACAATGCTCCATCGCATGCATCAAAGTACTCCACTGCGTGGGTAGCCAGTAAAGAATAATGACATGGCCCCCTTCCTCACCTGATCTAAACCGTATTGAGAACTTGTGGGCTCTTCTAAAAAAGGAGATTTACGGTGAAGAAAAACAGTACACCTCTCTGAACAGTGTCTGGGAGGCTGTGGTTGCTGCTGCACAAAAAGTTGTTTGTCAACAGATGAAGAAACTGACAGACTCCATGGATGGAAGGCTTATGACTGCTATTGAAAAGAAGGGGGAGGGGCTATATTGGTCATCGATTTTGTTTTTGAAAATGTCAGAAATGTTTATTTGTACATTTTGAGCTGTTTATTTCCATCTGTTAAAGTGAGATTGGAAATTTTTCATTTAGTTGCATAATAATTGTGCACACATAGATATTCTCCTAAGAAAGCCAAAACCTCACTTTTACTTTCTTAAATATTCAGGTTTATTAACATTTTGGATTGACCAAGAGCACTGTAGTTGTTCAAAAATGAAATGAATCCTCAAAAATACAACTTGCCTAACAATTGTGCACACAGTGTACAAGGCCAATCTGGAGTTATGAGAATGATTGGAATGCCATCAGCGATGATCATTTAAACCAGACGAGGTAAAAGCTGCAGCAGAGAAAAAGCCCAGATGAGCGAGTACTGATTCCAAAAGGCACCACAAGGGCATCTGTCATCAGGTTCTGCGTCTTGATGAAATATCTTTCCAGCTTCTTGATGAATTGAAATGCTAGCCACTCCACATGTGGAGTCCTCCAATGCAGGCATATGTCCTGGAACACCTTCACACAGAGATCATTCCCGAGTCCAGACATCTGCTGAGGAAAATCTACTTGCCAGTTTCCCACCCCACAGATTTCTGGAACATGAAACTCTGCATTTGTTACCGAAGCAACACTGATACGCAACACCCAGCCCTGCCGCCGACTCCCCCCGATAACGGTTGCAAAGCATAGCGCTGGCGGCATTGTCCAATTAATACGAACGCTGCAAAGCCCTGCGTTCCACTTTTGACCTCAAGCTGGCCAGACTATTTTTGCAATTTTTCACTTTTTTTTTTCTTCCATCTGCTGCCTGTAGTTTGTAAAAGACCCCCCAAACCATACTTTTCCTGAAAGCCTTGACACTGACATCAGCACCTTTCCCCCACAGTGTTAATTCCTTCCATGGCAAAGCCAGAGGAAATTGGAGAAAAATGGTGAACAGTGACCAAAACAAATGAGGGCACACCCAATGCCTGGCCAAAATAGCCTACTCACAAAGTCCAGTCCAGTTGCTATACACTCCAAAAGCCAAGCCGAAAATGACTGGATAGTGTCAAGACAGTGGATAAACCCACAAGCAGCAATCAATGTAGATGAATCTTGATTGAAGAAGAAAAGTAGCCAGAAAAATTCAAAGGCTAGTTTTGATGTCCATCCTTTTTAGGACACTAGTAAAAAAATTGAGGCATGCTGGTAGGAGGGGTTATACCCTGGGCTGGACCTACATTTTTTTGTTTGGCAGTATCCAATCCTCTTGTAGTGGCAGTATAACCCAATATACACTATAACTATAAGGAAATACGGCTCTCCTGTATCTACTGAAGATTGGTGAATTGAAGATTACATACCAAATCGGCATACAACACAAGCTTCAAAATCTCTATAGAGCTGTTTAATAAAGCGCAAGTATGCCAAATACAGTGCAATTCAGCACTGCAGCGAGAGGGGTTGTTTATGGAAGGCTAGCAAGGTGCAGGAAAAAAACAAATATTCAGAAGGGCCCAGTGGATTACCTCAGATTTGCGCCAATACTGGAGCATGGAATGTCAGGTGCTACTTATATTGAGCAGACCTATAGAAATTGCTGTTTTTGGCATGTACCAGTCCTTGTAAATGCCTAAAAGGACCAGGAGGTGGAAACCCTGTAATGGTAGGTAAAAGCAATCAGCATGCAGAGCTCTATGCTGAGGTAATTTTTAGAGAAAGGAGGTAATGGTCCACTTTAAGTATATCATTATAAATCTTCTAAAATGCTAAATAAGGAATTCCTAGCTTACCTTTCTCTAACAGTGTTTGCTTTAACGTCTTTGCAAGGAGAACTCTGACATTTGGTACTCTGTCAGAGGCAAGCTGCAGAAGATGAGGCATTAAATGCATAGCAAATTGATCCATAGGAAGGCAGTCATCTTCAATGAGAGCCTAAGGGAAAACACAGAAGAAATACTATAGTAGCAATACATCAGTGAAAATCCATCATTGTTAGGACTACCCTTCCCACTCAGTCAACCACATATAACAAGGACATTAAGATGTACTGTAGATTATCACCTACTCTGATTCAGTAGATATTAAGAACAGGCAATGACATACTAGCAGATTAAATTATTCATAATGAATGCCATGCTGGAGGTTATTTAGCTCCTCATTTGTCTATTAGTCAGTGCCCTAGGAGCAAGGGATATATATATATATATATTTCACACTCTGTCACCCTACAAGTTTTGAAAAACCTCTGGGTGTCAAGGCTATATCCCTGGGTCTAGGTGTTACTGGCTGAAAAAAAAAAGTCTGCCTGCCCACACCTAGAATGTGGACAAAGCTGGAACAAGACGTTTTATCAAAAACAGAAGCTGTGCCACCTCTCTCTGAGCTGCAAGACTTCTGGTACCCCCCCTGACTGGCCTCCCTGAATGGATGTATGCCACTGGTGTGGCACTGTCCGACTGAAACTAGGTTGGATGGAAGTTGAGAGAACCTGTGTTGAAGGGACAACCGAATCACTCACATTTCCAAAATGTTGATTGAGATTAGATTCTTCAGGCTTCCCTGCACCGATAGGGTGTCCAGGTCTCCTCCCCAGCTGTCTGGCATCTGTCCTCATATCCTTCTAAGTTATCAGGAGAAAGTATTTCCCCGATTCCAGGACTGGACTCCTGAGCCACCAGTGCAGAGATAGCCTGGTCTTGGGTGTCAGGTGCATGCGATTTTCCAGTGATTGTGCCTTCTTGTCCCATTCAACCAGAACGTTGAGTTGCAATGGTTTGTTTCTGGAACAGTTTGTTAAGTATTGAGTGACAGAGTTTAAGCCGACTGTTCTCTTAAGTAGGTTCCCATTATGGGAATGCCCTATGAGCATTGTAAGGATAGCACAGGGGCCAGAACCTTGCTGAACTCTTGAGAAACAAGACAAAATAAATGGGAGGGCTAAAAACTGGTAGTGTTGAGTATCAACAGGAAAATGCAGGTATTGATCTGCTGAAAAAAATGGGGTCATTCAAGCATGCTTCCATGATGTCTACAGAGGTTAGAAAGTATTCCTGATGGAGGGTTGTTATGACTGACCTGGTGAGTTCCATGTGAAATGTGTGCAAATCACACCAAAACTTTGAGTGCTTTCTAATGGATTAGAAACTTTTAAGTCTTTCCTCTTCTGGATTTAAGACAATGACTCCTTGAGAGTTCTGCCAAAGCAGCAAGGAGGTCTTTTAGTCTTTGTGGAGAGACTGGAACATTGATACAATGTATTCTACCCATGCAGCCAAGATATGTACGGCTCAAGGGGTTGCAAAGGCTAGCAGACATCTCCCCCACTTTGAAAGGTAGGGGGTGTCCCTTTATTGTGAGGATGACTTCCCTGCAGGTTTGAAAGATTTAGGGGTCCAAGATTTGCAATGGAACTGGGCCCGATTTAGATTTAGGTTTTAAGGCCTTGGAGAACCAAAGGAACTCTTTTTAGCTTTAGAAGCAGATTTTCCAAACTGAGGCTTTATGTTTCTTTTGCTGGCAAAAGAGTGGTTTCCGTCAATGACATCTTTGATGAAGTGGTCCAGAGAGGCACCAACGTTCTCCATCAAAAACCACACAATAAGCCTTTTTTTTAATGAAAGTGAGAGCACAAACTGCAATAAAAACCCCACACTACAAAAATACAATTTTGGCTTCCGTTTGCTTTTTAAAGTCGAATGCCAGGCAGCTATAAAATCACAGTTTTTTAGCTAAAGCGCCTCAATTTAACTTTTCATCAGCCTTTTGCAATACCCTATACAGCAGCATTAAGACTGGGAGCGGGAGGGACAGGACTGAGCGCCAATTAGGTGTGCTACATACGAGCAAATGTACCAATCAGAATATGCTGACTGATAGAGAGAACAGTAATACAAGAATCACTGCGCTAGGTGTGAAAACTAAATAACTAAATAATTAATTCGACCAGCCGCAACTATGTGTGTGAGTGAACTTATTATATCGCAAGTGAGTTGCGCTCGGTCTCGACAAATATAAATAAAATGGAATATGTGTGCTCTATAGGACGTGAAGAAGTTACTAAGTTCAGATTCTACTGTGAAAGAATTGTAAATCTCGGTAGTCACTACCTCGGTAATAATTGTGCAATATAACAATCAGATAGAGAGAACAGATTCATCATAGGAATGGACCTCATCAGCCGGCTGAAATATCACTCCTTTTTCAGAATTTTTAACGGTCAGAGAATGTGGCAAAATCTGCCTGGCTGTGCTGTGTAATAGGGCGGTCTAAATCTCAGGAATGGAGGAGCAGAATTAAAAAATTATTTGGTAGGAAAAAACTTGCATCCTTTTAATGTATTGCATTTTTGTATTCAGCCATTTGCCTGAAGGTCAAGTTCAAGCAGCAATAACCCTTAACGTTTGAAGATTGACTTTTACACTGCAAGTACAGCAAAGCATCAAATAAAAAAAATAAAAAACAAACTATTTGCAGTTAATTCAGCCGAACAATATAACAAAAGCTTTTAGTAAATTTGGAAACAAATTAGATTCTTAGAAATAGCAAAAAAGACTCCGTAATGAAAATGCTCTTCACTATGCTATACTGAATGTATCCTAACACAAGAGAGTTGCCTTCTATTAAAAGGAGAACTATGAGGTGAGTGATTCCACTCACCTCATAGTTCTAGCCGACCTGTGACAATGAGACTGTCACAGGTCGGCTCAGTAGATCGGGAGGTGAGCGAACACATACCGGCGTTCGCTCACCTCTCGATCCGGTCACTGTTCTCTGCTGTGACAGGGGAGCGTCTGGATTCCCCCCTCCGATCCGCCAGCTCTGACCGGCGGAACGGACGGGGCAGGTACAGCTGGCTCTGCCTCTAGATAGGCAGAGCCAGCTGTCAGTCACGCAGCTGGGCGTATCCCGGCACAATTGTCGGGATCCGCTTTAGCTGCGGCGTCTCAGTATACCGCGAGCAGCAGCTTGCGGTATACTGAGCCTAGAGTGACGGGACACTAGTTTGTGTCCTCCCGTTACACTAAGGAGAACTATGGGGAAAAGCCTTAACCTCATAGTTCTCCTTTAAGCTTAAATGTTTTAATGCAAAGGATCGTAACATTAAGCAGAATAAGTTACACCCTAGGTATTTTACTTCTTTAACCAAGTGTTCATTGCACAGCAGAAAATTCCACTTTATAATAATCACACTTTAAAGGTAAATGATGATTGACAGACAGACAAATTATAAAATTTTTATGCAAGTGAGAACTATCAAATTACAAAAGGAAAGTTTTAGAATCTCTGTTTCAGATGAACATCAAAAACCAACCTGGCAAATGAACACAAATGTCTGCCTTCCCGACCATTTTGAGCTCTGGCAAAACTGCTCTACAAGTTTATTCATGACATCCAAAGCCAACTCTGTATTAGGATCCAAGTACAACTTCTTCACCATTTCACTGACCTGCAAAGCCAAACACATGCAATATTCAACAACTGCCACCTCATTAGAAGCGGTGCCAGTACTTCCCGACAATCTAACGTGTACAAAGAAAATAAATGGAACACAGAATGCATTCTTTCAGATTTTTCAAAAAATGTCTGCCCAAAAAATGCAAACATCTGAAAAGTTTAAAAGCGTTCACCCATAAGCACTTGCAAAACTATGTGACATGGCTTTTGTAGATCTCGGAGCTGCTGTAAAAGCATATTACAGAACCTGGGATTCTCTATGATCACTTGGTTTTAGCTGCTCTGGTTATAGTCTTTACACTCCATCTTAGTATGCCATTATGCTCTCACATTGGCCTAAAGAGGCAGAGGCCATCAGTGCACAGAACATGTAGCTCATTCCAAGTCTTGCCCCGTGTTCTCCCTTCTCATTTGGTAGACAAATGCATTTTCTAAAACAAGGGATGATAGAGCAGAAGAGAGGGAGGACCAAAGAGGAATACTATACATGACCTCTTACACAACAGGGAATGATTACATCTCAGATAGTAGATCCACCCTTCTCTTGCGAAAGGTAAAAGATTAGCCAGTATACATGCAAACACAATTTTTAAATTGCAATTTCAGAGAGTATGCATTAACACACAGACATGAACAAACAACTGTGTTGGTTTGGCAGGGTTTCTCTATGGTAATAATCAACATGCTATATACAGTATATGTTGGCTTTATTAGACTAGAAGAAGAAAGGTTGCTGAAAGAACACATCTTCCTTAGATTAGGTCTACTTGGATGCTAGCAACAGCATTAAAACACCCGATAGGACGTTTAGGAGTTATAAGAAAAAATGTGGAGGAAAAGGGTTTATGGAGAGACATAGTAGACCATGCGTAAAATTATATTAAATTTATTGTATTGTACATAAATTCATTTCAATAAAAACATTTGCTTGGTCAAAGTAGCTGATACAACTCATAAATAACATTATTAAATACATACATGGATGCAATATTCCAATTTAGACCAACATAATTCATCCCTCGTCATTGACTAGCCCAACATACATACATTCATTGATAAAATCCAAAAGCCTAACGGCCATGATTCGTTCAACGTAATCAATTCATTGGTGTGTTCTTCAAGCTGTATTTCAGATATTTCTTTCCAACATGATTAGTTCCCTACGCGTTTCGCACTTAGGCTTCATCAGGGGATCAGACTAATCTGTAAGGAGTGCCTGGAGGTGGATAGAGGTGATGAGGACAGGAATGGAGTGGGTGGCTAGCTTCAGCCTATCCATCACATACCGTCCATCATCTCTCCCAGGACCTCAAAGGGAGGGATGTCCTGGGCAGCTTCAGAGAGCCAAATAGAACCCCACTCGGAGCAGTGACCTAATTTTGGTCCAAGTTGTATAGCGGTGTGCTGTCCTCGGCTCACTGCTCCGAATGGTACGCTCTCCACTGGAGAGAGTACCATTCGGAGCAGTGAGCCGAGGATGTCTCTCCATAAACCCTTTTCCTCCACGTTTTTTCTTATATACTACTTATTAGGGGAAGAGATTAATGAAAAGAGCTAGGGTGGAGGCGACCCACAAAAAGTTCCTTTGTTAGGACGTTTAGGAGGCAATGAAGGTAACATTTATTGCCCGAGATTTAAAAGGTAGATTTCTTTCACTAGTTTGTTCTGCTAAACTGCTGTGTAGGCAGAAAATACAATCATAATAAATGCAAGAGGGCAGGGACTCCAATTGCTGTACAGAACATTTCCTGTTATTCTAGGGTTTCCCCGGCTGGACAGATTTCAGGCACTCACTTTATTTCCCTCTCTCCCATCTATCCCCTCTCAGCCATAACATTATGAGAGGTGAAGTGAATAACATTGATTATCTCATTACAATGGCACCTGGAAGTGGCTGGATATACAAGACAGCAAGGGAACATTTTGTCCCTGAAGTTGATGTGATGCACAGAAGGAAAGATGGGCAAGAGAGGATTTGAGCAACTATGACATGGGACAAATTGTAATAGCTAGATGGCTGGGTCAGAGCAATTCCAAAAGGGCAGCCCTTGTGGTATGTTCCCGGTTTGCAATGGTCAGGAACTACCAAAAGTGGTCCAAGGAAGGAAAACCAGTGAACTGGCGACAGGGTCATGGGCGACCAAGGCTGGCCAATGTAGTACAATCCAATACAAGGGCTACTGTAGTGCAAATTGCTAAAAAAAGTTAATGGCACGGCTAGAAAGGTGTTTGAACATACAGAGCATCGCAGTTTGTTGCATATGGTGATCTGTAACTGCAAACCAGTCAGGGTGCCCATGCTGATCCATGTGCACTACCAAATGCCACTACAATGGGTATGTGAGCATCAGACCTGGACCACGGTGCAATGGAAGAAGGTGGCCTGCACTGAGGAATCACGTTTTCTTTTACGTAATGTGGATGGCTGGGTGTGTGTGTGCGTTAGTTACCTAGGGAAGAGATGGCACCAGGATGCACTATGGGAAGAAGGCAAACCGGCGGAGGCAGTGGGATGCTTTGGGCAAGGTTCTGCTGGGAATCTTTGGGTCCTGACATTCACGTGGATTTTACTTACCTAAACTTTGTTGCTAACAAAGTACACCCCTATATGGAAACTGTATTCCGAGGCAGTGGCCCATTTAAGCAAAATAATGTGTCCTGCCACACTGCAAGAATGGTTTGAGGAACACAACAACAAGCTGCAGGTGTTGACTTGACCTCCAAATTTTTAAGATCTCAAACCAAATCGAGCATCTGTGGGATGTGCTGGAAAAACAAAATACAATCCATGGAGGCCCTGCTTTGCAACCTAAAGGACTCAAAGGACCTGCTACTGATGGCTTGGTGCCAGATAGCACAGCATACCTTCAGAGGTCTGGAGGAGTCCATGCCTTGAAGGGTCAGGGCTGTTTAGACAGCAAAAGGAGAACCTACTCAATATTAGGCAAGTGGTCATAATGCAATGGCTAATTGGTGTATACGTAAACATTTTAATTTGTGATCACTTTTGCAATTTTTTAATATCTAATGGCCCCAAGCAAAAGAAGAAAGATTCAGACAAATATGCTGTATAAAAGCAATTTCTTGATATTTAAAAGGTTTCCATCATATAAAAAAAAGTATACAGCCATTTAAACTTTTCTGTATAGCAAGAAAGGGTCCACCACTAACATCACGTTGTCAGCAATAGAGTATCCTACTACCATATACATTGATGGAGGAATAAATCAGTATGTCGCAATACAACACCAGGATCACCAAGATGTATGGAAATGGAGACCCTGCTGTACTAGGACAGTGTTAAAAGGTGGAAACTATTAAAGCTCAATAGAACATTTCATTTAAATCTACTAAATACATTCATGGTGCAGCAAAACAAAAAGGTGTGCAAAGTCCTGTTTAGAAAACCCTAAAATAGTTTGAGCATGTATTTTTGTATTGCATAAATATAATGCACTGAAATGTAAAGTTCTTTTTCTGATCTATTATGGTCCTCCATTATTCACAAACTTGTCACTCAGAAAAACAACTGTGGAGGAACTCACCAGTTTAAAGGAGATCCAGCGTACCGACGATACTTTGTCCCCACAGAGGTTCAAAGCAATTGGCAGCAAGTAGTCATAAATATCCCTGGCACTATAAAGTTCAAGTAGGAGAATCACCTGTCTAAAGAACAGAAACAAATATGTTAATCCAACAAAATAAAAGCACGGTGAACAAAACTAACTGGTCACTTTGAATGGGATTTAAGAATTAGATATTTATATTAACCTGTAAAAAAAAAGTGTATCATCACCCAAAAAAAAAAAAATTTTTGTGAGGGCCTCAATCACGTTTCTATTTCTTGAGTCTATGAAATATCCCCACACTTCCAGTCCCAGTGACCGTCCCTATGGTGACTCGAGTGTGTGAAAATCCAGCCTTCAGGAATCATCAGTACACCTCTCCCTCCCCATTCGACACATTAGATATAGAAAAATTACAGGAAAGCTGAACAATGAATACAAAGAGTCGTAGTAACAATTAACATCTCGGTATACTTAATACATACTCTGCTAGCTCTGCTCTGAATCGCCAGTTGCGGCAGTTATCTGTAACCAAGAATTCTTGAAGCTGATAGAGGTATTCCCTTCTTTTGTCGGGCTGGAGAAGCTACAAAAAAAAAAAGAAGTCAGAGTATAAGCAGACTAGCTAACAAATGAAAACATGTTTATATTTCAGTCTTAAAATGGTCACCTATGTAAAATATATAAAGATAAAGCAAGTGAAATCATTCTTGGTTCCCATATGCATTTGGCATATGTTACCATTTTAAAAGGAAAAACCTACCTAAAGTTACAACAAATGTTGGGGATCTCCTGGCCTAACAGACATCTTAGGCCTAGAAATCACAATCTTTGGGATAACAGCAATCCAACATGTCATACAGTCTACGGTACTCCCCTCATGAGGTGTTACACTTGGCCGGTGAATACATAGGCTCATGTGAAGAGTCAGACAGTGTTTAGAACCCTGCTGGCCCCAATCTAGTATCCATGGGCACCATTATTTATCCAAAGAACACAAAAGTGACTATACTCTCTGAACTGGACAGAGGAAACACAGCTTTGCTACAACTGCCCACCTAAATGCAGGAGATTAACATTAGAACGGATATATTTTGTTTTAAATGTAATAAATATAAACACTATTCTGTCGTAAGCAAGCCTAACTGACTCAGTTCTATATGTATGCGTTTAGTCAACTGCACTTAAAGTATAAGAAATGAGACCCAAATCACACAGTTCTACCACCAGGAAAAGGTTCCGCATCTTTAAAAAAAAAGAAAGGGATAGTATATTTTGTTTTTACACAGTGACATTTGAAAGAGCTAAAAATCATTCTCCTAGTAATAAAGATTTGTGAATTAAGACTTCTACATCACTAACATGTCCTGAATATATGAACAAACCCTAAAAATGAACAGTTATTCTCCATAATAAACCCAAAGTAATAGAAAAGTCAGATGTACATACCTTCAAGAAGTCATATAAATGCTTTAGGACACCTATCCTGACTTCATCAAGATCTTTTAGAAATCCATTGAAGATTGGCAGCAAGTCGGCAGCTGTGAGGGAATCGCCAAGTATTGACGCCAGTTCATGAATTGAAAATGCCAATGTCCTTCGCACTTTCCACTGACAACAGAAATAAGAGTAAAGACCTTAGTACAGAATGCATGAATCGTTTCCAGGGTATAAAGAGAATGTTCAAGAGGAGCACACTAATGGTTGTGTGCACAGGGCTGGTGGAAAGACATCACAAGCTAATATAACAGGAGTCTGATTTATTAAAACTGAAGCAAAACTTATTTACCTGCATGTCTGCAGCAAGTGTCTCATAGGTGTCCCTGAGGCAATGCCAGTTCTGTCTGCCCAGTGTAAGAGCCACTCCTGGAATGCTATAGGCGCAGTGTTTGGCAATCTCTGTGTCAACAGTCTGAGCGCGGGATGGATCAGTCATGGATAAATACTGATCCAATAAGGCCTGAGGTACAACATCCTGGGAACGTAAACACAGGGCTCAGTCTTGCTACCGTGTTATAGTGGTAATGGAGAAATCGGTCCGAATGAAATAAAAAATAAAAAAATGTATTACCTGAACTTTGGATTTTTTCTCCTCTTCGGGGCTATAACTGCTACTACTGCTCAAATCTGAATCGCTGTGTATATAGCGCAGAGTTGATTGCATACACTGAAAAGGAATAGGGTCAAATTACTTTTGAATAAAATTCCAGGTAACTATTAAAACTGTAGTAACTAGTAAAAAAAAAAAAAAAGAAGAAGGACGTGGTCTGTCCAGCAGTACAAAGACTAGAAGGAAGGAACAGGAGCTTTGCCAGTTTATCACCAACATGCTAAGGAAAGGAGAGTTCGGTAATGACCTCATCTGTCCTGCTGTGTTCTCACTGTCCATTCCGCAGGCGCATGTTTGTGCATAGCGGGAGATGTGATACAGGAAAAGTGCCAAGTTCAGTTACCTTGACTTATTTTTTACAGATATACCATGACCTGGATGAATGAAAACCTTCACTGCTAAGCTTGAACTTTCGAAATAAAAGTCAAGCGTTGCATAGAAATGTACCTGCCTATCTTTTGAAGTAAATCTGTACTACAAGAAACAGGATACCAATGATGACCCCTCCTTTGGAATCCAATTTGATTCCCCCACAAACTGCCTGCCGTCCCAGGCTCTAGAGCAGGGTTTCCATAGTCCTCATAGTCTACAAGAGAACAGGCTTTGCCTTTATTTCCACAGACCAACAGGGGAAAATAATTCCTGGGTTATTTAATAGAAATAGGCAAGGAGATATTACTCTATATGTACTATACGCTTGGTTATTGTTTCCTACCTATGGAAAAAAATACTCAAACATTTTGTGAAAGAAATAGGCAAGGAGAAAAGCGCCAAGGCTCAAAATGCGTGCTTACAACTTTCCTCCGTTTCTTGAGCAGTTTTTAAAATAAAGCCATTGGTACGTTCCTTACACAGGTCACTAGTAAAACGGTATTGCCAAGAGGAGTAGGCAATCCACGCATTATCAGAGGTCTATAAGGAGCAGTTAGTGACTGCTCTAAATAGAGGCAGGCATAACCACTGATTTGTGTTCATGAACCCGATGCAAATAAGAACAAGTGCAGGTTTTTTTTTTAAACAGTGAAAAAATGGACATAGGCATGCCGTCTGTTCATGCAGTTTTTCCAGCAATTACTAAAATCTCTGTTGTCAGGCTGAATGCTATACATAAACTCTCAATATGGAATTCACCATTCTGGATAACTTTTTTTGTTTTCCTATCATGCAATAATAGAAGTGAAATGACGCAAAGCTGCAGTGATACCTCCACAGAATCACTAATTAAAGGAATGGAGTCATCCCGGGAGATCCTGCAGTATATTCTCCCAGTCTCAAACAGATTATTACGACAGCCAGCCTCCCGATTCAAGTGTGAGGATTTGGTATCTTCCTGAGTTTCTAGGCTTGATGCTTTAAGGGCAGCAGTGAGGACATCGACTTGTGCTACAACAAAATACAAATACCAGTGTCAGATAAGCAAAGTTACGTTTATTTATGCAGAGCTAAAAACTTTTTTTTTTTGGAGGTTTTGGATAGAGTAGAGAAGGGTATAACCCCTAATCAGGTTTTATTTCTTGTGGTATCTGTACTGCTGGAGATATTTCCTTCCTTCACGACTTGTAGACGCTACAGGAAGTCTTCCTAAAGGGAGGGATGATTCCCATCTTCGATAACGGTCACTGGAACCCTTGCCCCAGTTGGATCATTACCCATCACTTTCTGCTGTAGTGACCATTCTAAAATGTTGTATTCCCTTTTGTCCTAGTGACCAGAGAGGTAAATCTCCCCAGCTGCCACACAGATAGCAACAGAAGGTTGACAAAGGGTCTAACCCTTTTCCACGCTATCCAAAGCTTATAAAAGAAAAACATTCCTTCAAATATACTTAAACTGAAACTGTCAAATAAAACTGCAATTCTGCTACATCGACTCGATCCATTTGTAATATTACGGAATTTTTTTTTAATGACACTAAACTCAGGTGTTTAGGTACCTGAACTAATAACAATATTGCACCTTATTTCTGTATCACTTGGTTGCAGATCCTTAAACCATCTCTGAATTTGTGCCGACACTGTCCTTCCTTCTGGAGGGTGGCTACTTTCCACAGCTCCAAGCTCGCTCCTGTGATGGACTTTAATTTCAATATAAATTAGCAAACTCAACATGAGATTGTAGTCCATTACGGGAGTGAGCTTGGAGCGGTGACTACTTTACAACACAGGCAACATGGGGGATAAAAGTAGCCACCCTCCAGAAGGAAGGACAGTGTCAGCACCAATTCAGAGATGATTTGAGGATCTACAGTTGAGTGATACACAAATAAAGTACAGTTCCGTTATTAGTTTGGGTACTTGAATGTATTTTTAAGATTTAACACCCGAGTTTAGTGTTACTTTAGTGCTGACCCCCAAACCAACAACAACAACAACAACAAAAAACAGCTAACATTATGCTCACCTACAGTACATGGGCTAAGTTTAATGGTTGGTTTGTATGCAAAGTGTGCATGGCCAACTGAAAAGTGCATCTGTTCATTTGCATCTTATTGAAACAGGACAGGAAAGGCCCCTGCATATCAGTTACACTTTACACCCAATTCCTTACAGGGGTTGTACCATTTCATCCTTTCTTTTGAGTTAAATGGAAACATGTGTTCTCCGGCTCTTCCTGCTAGCACTTGTATTGGACTTACTGGCTACTAAAATGTATATCACTGTCTATGCTTGCATGTACTTCAACAATTGTCCTAGAAGTATGCATCCATTTACACAGTGCATTGTTACTAATATAAACTGAATGGAGCTCTATTTTGAGAATAGCAACTTGCAGAAATGGTAGACAAGTAGCAAACAAAAATATAGGCACATTATTCAACTTACAAAAACAAAAAAAAGGAATGTGAATAAAACAATACAGTGTGACAGTTTCTGATAAACATTTGGTTATTTGAGTATGTTTTCCCAAATAACTATTTCTATCTTCTGTAATGTACATCAAATAAACAAAGTGGTTAAAACACACACAAAACCTACAATGACGGACCATGAATTTAAAGAACTCACTGGCTTAGGCCTTGTTCACACCAAATGCAGAGCAGATTCGCTCAGGTGTCTGCACACGCAGTGCAGTGGGTTGTGCCGCGTTTTTGGTTAAACATTTTTTTTTTTTTTTAGTTTAACATGGGCTTTCAGTGTGTTCCAGGCATTTGCATGCCTTTTTGATGTGTTTGCATGCGTTCCAGAGCAGGTAAAATAGGGCTTGCTGCAGTTTTTTTCACCTGCTCTGGAACTGAACGCTGCGATGTGAACTGGAGCAGAAAAATACCATTGGAATACATTGGACGCAGTTTGGATCCGGTCTGCAACTGCTCTGCACCTGGAACGCGCTTGGTGTGAACAAGGCTTTATGTTGGTGTGTATGAATAGTAACCACTGTTTACACTGAAAGGATCCACTTATTGCTTCGATGTCTCCAAAACAATTCTCACATACCTTAAACAACCTGTAAGAGCTGCCCTGGGAACTTGGAAAGTATTCTAATAAGTACATTTGTTCAAGGGTAAATATAAAAGAATAAAAAGATTGTGTGTGGAAATATTCCTAAAAATATTTTACAACAAATTTTAGAAAATTGTATAATACAGCCGAGTCCTAGCCGTTGAACCCTATAGGGAAAGAGCCAGGGCATGAACACTTCTACTCCCATCATCCATTCCCACATTGAAATTATTTTCCCACAGCAGACCGGAGTTTAGCTTTAGGCTCCATTCACACATAGCGGTAGAGTTTTCTGCGCTGCACGAAAACGTTAGCATACACGCGGATGCCACACATTTGCGGCTATTACTGTAGCCGGAATACGCGGAGACCGCCGAGAGGATCGCGCTTGTAATTTTTTTGCAGGACGCGCATTTTCGTTCTGCGTAGACGCCATCCTAGTGCGAACAACACACATTGGAAAGCATTATGTTCTGTGTGTTTCCGCGCATACCAATACGCACAAAAACCGCTAATATGTGAATGGAGCCTAAAAGGAAACCCATCATGACAAAGGGGGTGAATACTTCTGAAAGCCACTATAATGCGTTACCACAGCACACTGGTGTGAACGCGCCCTTAATTTGATTGTACAAGAGTCTGTAAGTACAGGAGGATGGTCACTGGCCATTTAACATGTCTGTCTAGACAAGACCGGGGGAGAGGAGCATGTGACCCTTTTAGAAGAAACCTGAATCACTTTTCCATTATACACAGAAGCAAAGCTTTAAAGCTTATCTATAGCCCTTGTTTTTGATTTTTCGATAGAAGTAGGGAAGGATTTGAATCTCAGTCGATTTATTGAATGCTGTCTATGTACTACTGGTGTGATCTCACTTCCTGTCTCAGAGATACAACAGAAATAAAAAAGTGTGTAAAGTGAGGAATTCAGAACAGGTGACCCCATTGGAAGATTTCCCCTCACCTCTGTGTGGAGTTTGTATTCATTTCACTCAGGTATCGTACTCCCATAACCCCCTATTATAGTCTGTTAACATACTGTCTCTCTACGGCAAGAAATTTAGGCTGTAAGCCCCTAAGGGGCAGAAATTGATGTGAATAGTTCAATGTTCCCTGTAAAGTACTGTGGGAAATGTGTCATTGTTATATACTATATATCTTTTTAATTAATATGCAATGTTATGAGATTCCAAACCGACCACAAATAAAAGTAAATGCTGTGATAGTTAAAATTCTGTAGTTGGAACTTACTTCTTTAAAGGAAACATACATTTTTTTTAAAACAGCAAGAAATCTAAAGCTGCCCATACACCTTACAACCATTGCATGACTTTCGTTGTGCGATGGTTGCAAGGTGATTAAAATTTCGTACGACTTGCCCATCTTGGACAGGCAGATCGTACTGGCGTTCATCGCAAACCGTACCTCGGCCCGTGCGGCTTTGGTCTTGTGATCGCGCTACCAACCCGCCGAAAATCATACGATTTTCGGCGGGTTTTCTAGCGTGCTCGTAATACAAAAGTCGTGCGACCTTACAGTAAATGCGGTCGCACGCTGCCCATACACCTTACGATTATCGTACAATAATCGTTAGGTGCACAGGCAGCTTAAGCCTAAACTACAATTAAAAAAAACAAACAAACACACACAGCTGAAACACATACAACTGTTTTAACTAACAAATGAAATGTATTTCTGTCCAGCCAATCCTATGATTTATGCAGCCGTGCCAGATAGCAGAGCCAGGATGGGGATGAGACGTTTCTCTACTGCGGTTAAGCAATACAGCTAGGTCACCTCACTGCCTCTGACTGTAATTGGACAGTAAAGAACCACTACTATAGTTTTGTTTCTACAATCTAGTTACCTTTTACATCTGGATCATCTGTATGAGGCTCCAAGTTTTCAATCATCTCTTCAAGCTCTTTTCTGGTAGCCATGGCTATGTTAGGAGATACAGGGGATGAAACCTTTTGGGCAAGTGGCCTTTCAGGGCTGTTCTTCTCTGCTTCTGTCTGATGTAATTCCAGATCAATATCAATCTCTTGGATGGGAGTCCTCCAATAATGAAAGGAATTGAACAGCTCAGTAGCAGTGCCCGCTTTAGAGTCTACTTCCAGATCCTTGGATACCTCCATGTCAGGAGAACTCTGCTCAGGCTTCACCGAGTCATCTGAAGTCTCCAAAGTGCAATGTGAAATAAAGTTACTAGAATAATTGCTGACCCCACACTGTTCATCTGCTGTATCAACCAAGTCTGTGTCTAACTTCACAGTAAAAGAAACAATGCTGCATTCTACTGAAGACTCTTCTGATAGAGTATCTGCATCTCCTTTAGCCACATTATCGGCGTCTTCCGGTAAGGGTTCAGCTGTCGAGCTACTAAAAGAAAAGCAGTCCATTATTAAAAATTTGACCCAAATGTAAGACAGAAAACCACAAGCATCTGCTGCAAATGCCTGTAAAATCACCTACTGCTGAAAACAGGCAAAGAGACAATACAAACAAAATAAGAGCATTCCTCGCCATCCATTTCCGAGATTTACACAGCTCTGCCATGCAGCACAGCCCTGTTTTGCAAGGCCGGAGACTTGATTTTACTCTGCTATAGTTATTGCCACATGCACCAGAGTGAGAGCAATACTTCTTGGACCAATATTCATGGCTAACTATAAACTGGTCTCCATCTATCTGTCCATCTATGGTTTCGGCTTGTCCAATTATGCTGCAGGATGTGTGTTGTGGTGCCGTTCATTGCAATGGCACCCCAAACGCACCTCCCGACCACAGTGCGATAGCCCGCACTGGAATATGCGGGTACCGCAAAACAATGCGCTCTAGTGTGATTGCAAAAAATGTGCATACAGTTTTATTCTGAAGTAAACATTGTTACACACCATTTGTGTCTTTCATTGTACATAAAGATGGTATTTAAAAGGAGAACTATGGGGTAAGTGTTTGTCCCTATAGTTCTCCTAAGGTTCACGGGAGGACATATGCTAGTGCCCTCCAGTAACCCAAAGCTCAATATACCGTGAGCTACAGCTTGCGGTATACTGAGACCGCCGCAGCAGAGACGGATGCCGACATTACTGTCGGGATCCACACAGCTGCGTGAGTGACAGCTGGCTCTGCCTATCTAGAGGCAGAGCCAGCTCTACACGCCCCCTCCCCCGTCCGTTCCACCAGTCAGAGCTGGACGATCGGAGCGGGGGGAATCCCTGCAGGGAGCCGTGAATGACAGTCACGACTCTCTGCAGGGACATGATCGAGAAATGAGCGAGCGTCAGTATGCGTTCGCTCACTTCCCGATCTATTGAGCCGAAGTATGACAGTTTCATTGTCACACGTCAGCTCGAAGTATGAGGTGAGTGATTTTCACTCAACCTCATAGTTCTCCTTTAATTTTTTTTTCTTTTAATCTTTTTTAATCTGGTTGAAAACAAATCGGCCAACTAATCGATTGTAAAAATAATCGTTAGTTGCAGCCCTAATATATACTGTGCAAAAGTTTTAGGCAGGTGTGAAGAAATGCTGTAACGTAATAATGCTTTCAGAAATAAGTGTTAGTTTATTTTTATCAATGAACAAAATGGAAAGTAAATGAATAGAAGAGAAATCCAAATCAATATTTGGTGTCACCACCCTTTGCCTTCAAAACAGCATCAATTCTTTTAGGTACACTTGTACAGTTTTTGAAGGAACTTGACAGGTAGGCTGTTCCAAAGGTCTTGGAGTACTAACCTCAGATCTTCTATGTCTGTAGGTTGCCTCAAATCTTTCCTGTCTCTACATGTAATCCCAGACAGACTCGATGTTGAGCTCAGGGCTTTGGGGGGGGGCAAACAATCACTTCCAGGACTCTCTTGTTCTTCTTTACACTGGAGATAGTTCTCAATGAAATTGGATGTATGTTTGGAGTCGTTGTCCTGCTGCAGAATAAATTTGGGGCCAATCACATGCCTCCCTGATGGCATGACAGAAAGGTATCTGCTTGTATTTCTCAGCATTGTGGACACCATTGATCCCGACCAAATCTTCAACTCCATTTGCAGAAATGCAGTTCCAGACTTGCAAGGAACCTCCACCATGCATCACTGTTCCTGCAGGCACTCATTATTGTACCGCTCTTCAGTGAACAAACTGCTTCCTGCTACAGCCAAATATTTCAAGTTCCTATGTTTCCATGCATATTTGAGTTGCTTAGCCTAGTTTTCACTTCAGAAGTATGGCTTTTTGGCCGCAAGGCTGCAGAAAAATGGCAGCAGGTGCTCTGGACTGATGAGTCAAAATGTAAAATATTTGGTTGTAGCAGGAGGCAGTTTGTTCGCCGAAGGGCTGGAGAGCAGTACAATAATGAGTGTCTGGAGGCAACAGTGAAGCATAGTGGAGGTTCCTTGCAAGTCTCTGTCTGCATTTCTGGAAATGGAGTTGGAGATTTGGCCAGAGAGAAATACAAGCAGATACTTATCGCCCATGCCATACCATCAGGGAGGCGTGTGATTGGCCCCAAATGTATTGAGCCGCAGGACAACGACCCCAAACATACAGCCAATGTTATTAAGAACTACACTATATTACCAAAAGTATTGGGACGCCTGCCTTTACAAGCACATGAACTTTAATGGCATCCCAGTCTTAGTCCATAAATGTTCAATATTAAGTTGGCCCACCCTTTGACGCTATAATAGCTTCAACTCTTCAGGGAAGGCGTCCACAAGGTTTAGGAGTGTGTATGGGAATGTTTGACCGTTCTTCCAGAAGCGTATTTGTGAGGTCAGGTACTGATGTTGGACGAGAAGACCGGGCTCAGAGTCTCCGCTCTAATTCATCCCAAAGGTCTTCTATTGGGTTGAGGTCAGGACTCTATGCAGGCCAGAAAAGATCTGCACCCCAAACTCGCTCATCCATGTCTTTATGGAGCTTGCTTTGTGCACTGGTGCACAGTCATGTTGGAACAGGAAGGGGCCATCCCCAAACTGTTCCCACAAAGTTGGGAGCATGAAATTGTCCAAAATGTCTTGGTATGCTGATGCCTTAAGAGTTCCCTTCACTGGAACTAAGGGGCCAAGCCCAATCCCTGAAAAACAAACCCACACCATAATCCCCCCTCCACCAAACTTTACGTTTGGCGCAATGCAGTCAGGCAAGTACCGTTCTCCTAGCAACCGCCAAACCCAGATACGTCCATCGGATTGCCAGACAGAGAAGCGTGATTTGTCACTCCAGAGAACACGCCTCCACTTCTCTAGAGTTCAGTGGCGCGTGCTTTACACCACTGCATCCGATGCTTTGCATTGCACTTGGTGATGTAAGGCTTGGATGCAGCTGCCTGGCCATGGAAACCCATTCCATGAAGCTCTCTACGCACTGTTGTTGTGCCAATCTGAAGGCCACACGAAGTTTAGAGGTCTGTAGCTATTGACTTGACAGTTGGCGACTTATGCACACTGTGCACTCCAGCATGCGCTGACCCCGCTCTGTCATTTTACGTCATTTTGGCCTACCACTTCGTGGCTGAGTTCCTGTTGTTCCCAGTTGCTTCCACTTTGTTATAATACCACTAACAGTTTACCGCGGAATATTTAGTAGCAAGGAATTTCACGGAAAACCTGAATCCAATGATTTGGAGGGGTGTCCCAATACTTTTGGTAATATAGTGTATCTTCAGTGTAAAGAAGAACAAGGAGTCCTGGAAGTGATGGTTGGGCCCCCACAGAGCCCCAATCTCAACATCTGAGGATTTGAGGCAGCCTACATCCACAGAAGATATGTGGTTAGTTCTCCAAGGTCTTTGGAACAACCCACCTCCCGAGTTCCTTCAAAAACAGTGTGCTGCCTAAAACGTTTGCACAGTAGAGAGTGTGTGCCTGTGCGTGTCCGTGCGTGCGTCCATATCTCTTTCATATGTCCTTTGACTAGGTACTCTTTTGTTAGTACTACAGCTACTAATATAACATTACATCACTATAGTTTAAACAGTGACATGTAAAAATTGTAACAAAAGTGAAAACAAGAGCAAGCAGTGTGTCAGTTTTTCTTGTTCTAAAGATCCAACCACAGTTTATATGAACATTCTGAGGTCACGGTTTAATTCAAAGCATTTGGCAATAAAATGATTCACATACCTCTCAGCAGCTTCACTTTGTTTTCCATCCTTGCTGTTGTTACATTCTTCTTCCTTGAAATACTGACCAGAGCTGGATGGGTTTGCAAACGTTGCTATAAAAGGCCCAAGGGATTGAAAGGCAGCTTGGCGTACCTAAGAAACAAGCCATAATCACCAAAATTGTTATGACTTTCCAGGTCTGCCAATGGTAATGATGCCAAGGCTTTACACAAGGATAAGAATCTATTTTTAGCCAGGTTACCATAAATTTCAAATGCCATTGGCTTCAGCTAAAAAGTAGGTAACTTTTCTGAAAATAAGAAACCTTCTGCTGGTGCTTTAGCTTTGTGAATTGAGCCTTATGTCTTCAGAATATGTACTTAAAATATTTAAATGTTAAGGGCAACTCCATTTAAATCATTCAGCATTCTACTGATTCTATTCAGTAAAATGCTTTCTTTTGTCCTCAAATATAAAAAGTCTGCTTAGTTCACTGAAAATGCAACTTAACCCCTTCCCGACCAATGACAGAATTATCTTGTCACGATTGTTCAGTTTATTAACGACCGGTGACCGGATAATCCCGACATTCAGTACAATGATCGCTGGTCTGTGAAGGGACATGCAGCTCATTGAGTTACTGCTGTTTATGGGTCCCTCGGTGTCCGAGGCAGACCCCCAAGTGCAGATTAGTTGGTCACAATCCTGTGATCACAGTGAGAGCTGATCACTGTGATCCCAGAGCCGTGACAGTCACACAGTCGGCAGCTGCTCACTGTGTTTTGTAAGCGGGTAGCTGGCTTGTATGTTACAAAATACAAAGTATCTCTGAGGAGAATGAAGTATTCTCCTCAGAGATACGAAGTATCAAAGCCCCTGTAAATAAAACAAATAGTATTTCACTCTTTGTATTTTGCGAACTATAACTCCCAAAATAAACTGAAATCCCAGACATATAATATGCCCTATAAAATCAGGAAAAATTAAAGAATTATGAATTACTTTCCATGAGCTACACTAATTATGTACACGTTATTATTGCCAAAGCTGTGAAAAAATTTTTTTTCATTTTTTTTTTTATGAAAAAGAATTTATATATGCATATATGTCACAAATTAAAGGCCATTTTGTCCTTTAAAAATGGTATATAATATGTGTAGGTATAATGCATGAGCAAGATGGAAATATGGTTAAACACATAGCAAAAATGCTCCGGTCCCCAGGAACTAAAACATATCCTGGCATAGCTGTAGCACGGCGGTCCACCCCATTCCCTTCCGCCAGTAAACATGCAGTCAGGGATAAGTTTTTGCTCTACTGATGCAATGCAATAAAAGGTAATCACAAACACGCCCATTGCACATGTCTTGCAGTCTCTCACATAGAGAAAGCCTAATGTATCAAATGTGAACATGAAGTTCTTTAAAAATGTCTCCTCCACCAAATTTGCCTTCTTCTAAACACTATACAATATGCATCATCTATTACTACTTGCTTACCTTATTTGTGTTTTCTAAAGTGTTTACACATCTATTTTGCTATGCACTTGAACCTCCCTAAAAACGTCAATAAAAACTATTTAAAAAGAAAAAAATAATTTATAAATAGGCCCCCTAAAAATTATATCCAGCTAAAACCTTTTTGCTTTGTTTTGGATAGAGTTAGATCTTCTGTCAGGTTTTACCGACATTGGGGATTCCATTAGAAAGATTTTCCCTTCCTTCCAATGGTTTCAGCAGATTTTTATTTCCGTCTCTGTTGCAAATTTTCTTTCACTGCCTGACAGGGGTACTAGCCCTCCCCTTAGTGTGTTTAAATAAAGCATTTTTTAACATCTGTTTTGCTGTTGGAGATTCCCCCTCATTTTCTGCCTGGTGAAACAGTTGACAGCTGAAGAGGAAGTAAGGGAAAAATCTTTCCAATTGAGCCCTAGATAGTAGTAAAATCAGACAGGAAACTTAACCTTTCCCGGCTCTGTTAATACACTTTAAACTGACCATAACTGGCACGCTGGTGTTGCCCATATTCATCTGTCATTTAAAGTTCAGATGAGAACATTTCTTATACCCAACATCTTAACATTTTTGATGCCATGGGAAACAAATACATTCTTGTCTACAGATTTTCAATAAGGCCTACTAAATAAGCCGCTGATATGTTAAAACATTGTGAAATAATAGGTCATGCATACCCATCTAGATGGGTCACTGATTAAGTTAATAAAGAGAGAAGAAAGCTTGGTCCGCCGGAGTTCTTGCGAAGTCGCACAGGACACTGCCATGAAGCACTCAGCACAAGCCTTCCGCACACCCCATACATTGTCAGAACAAAGCTGGAAAAATCGAGGCAGCTGGAAGACATAGAAATAACACATTAGGATACACAGTCATTTAAAACTTCAGTTAAAGCAAATCTGCAACATGAAACAGAGACCATCACTGCTGACATCTGCTTCAGACAATGCAAGCTGAATCCAGAAAACCAAGAGCAACCCTTTTACATAGCAGGCTCTAGCTGATGAGGTAGATCCTGCTTTAGCTCTAAAGCCAGTTATACATGGTTCTATATTTTCCATTCAACCCATGGGGCTCAACGAAAAAAATAAAACAAAATAGAACCATTCCTCCAATAACACTTACAAGCATTGATTGTGGAATCCCCGCTGTATGCTTTGTATTCTGACAGCGGTTGCCAAAATACAGCAAAAAAAAGCTGAATGGCCACCAGCTCCGTTCAGCCGATTATTTGAAAACTGGCAAATTTGATGAGCTGATCGAGAAATGCTGGGCAGAAGGGTGCTGAAACTCGAAGCTTGTATACCCTAAGTCTCCTTAGTGTGCTGGCCCAATGCACCTTAAACCCCCACACAAACTAACATGTACCCACTTTAATGACCACCCACGCTAAAACACTGAAAATAAATTTCTAGACATGCTATGGCCACACACAAGTGGATCTCCAAAGAGTGCACAACTTACCAGCATCTTCTCTGTTGCTTCCTGTCCAACTACGCTGCATATATCACCAAAATTGGCTGCACATACCTAGAATGAAAAAAAGTACATCTTAAAGAGCAAAGAATCTAACTGCCTGGATCCAATTATTACAGCTGTCATAAGGAGAAAACAAAGTGTTCCCTGTTTGGACAGATCATTGCAATACTTGTAGTAAGTTTTTCCTAAATTCATTTATTTTTCAGTCCAAGATATGTCAAGGTTTAGTTCAAATAGAATATCTGGAATCCATATTTAAAACAATCTCTACTAAGTTAATTTTAAAAGTGCAGTTTAGAAGTCCCAAATATCCGGGCATACTGTGGGACCTCACAATAGCTCATGGTAACTGAAAATACAATGTAACTGTACTGGGTCCAGGAGAAGAAGTTGGAGATACTACCTTCTAAAAGAAATCAGTTATTCAACACAGTATTATATTCATATTGTCTTCAGGTTTGAGATGATCCCAAGGCCCCATTCACACGGGAATCGGCCGGCACGTACAGCTCCGTGCACGGCCATATCCGGCAGCTCCTGGGAAGGACAGGTGCTGCGTGTGATTAGTACACAGCCCCTGTCCTTCTCTATGGGACTACGCGGCTATATGCCCCCCTACGCTCACCTCAAGTGCACGTCCGTGCGGGTGCGGGAGAGCGTACTCGTACGCTGACAGGATGGATCCTGTCTGCGTCTGAGCCAGGAAACACTCACCCGCATGGACGTGCACTTGAGGTGAGCGTAGGGGGGCATATGGCCGCGGAGCTGTACGTGCCGGCCGATTCTCGTGTGAATGGGGCCTTCATTTCATTTTAAGTAAGACCCCATTCACACATAGCGACATACCTTTTGCAGCGGATCCGCACAGCCGGGATAGCGCGACTTTCGGGGCGACGTTCCAGCGACGGTAGCGCGACCTTCTCCGTCGGGCTCCATAGAAAAAAAGCAAAATCGCGCAAAATCCGCCGAAAAAAGGGTCCGGTAGAAGCGACTTGCGACGAGCGACATGGAGTTAAGACAGCTCCATTGAATAGCATTGGCTGGCAACTTCTCGCGATATCGCGGCGATAATTCGCTACATGTGAACGGGGCCTTAGCCTTTCCCTGTTCACCTCACAAAAAGAAAAAAAGCAATCTTACTTTTCCTTCAGCACTTTAATTCACTTAATTTAAAGTTTAATTCCAGCCAAAATGTATATATTTTTCAATAATCGGTTTTATTAGTTTTGTGCAGAATCAGAGGGGTACATATAGATTACAGAGGATTTTTAAGAAACATCCTCCAACACATCAAAACGCATATTTATTATGAAAATGTGGAAGGTTAGAACTTCTTTTTACTCCCGTTACTGTCCTGGTGAACTGCCTTGGACACAAACATTCAACTACACTAAGCTTTTGTGGAAGAGAAGTAGGAGGAAGAGGAGAAAGCAACACAAATAAGACACTTGTCAACATGGCTCATCTCAAAAGGGAGTACTATAGGGGGGACGGGAGACCCTTCTGAAGCTCAAAGACATTCTATCCTTCACAACTTTCCTTTCAGCTTCTAGTAACCAAGCAGAAGCACCAAAGTGGACCCGTAACTATCAGTTTTTTTTTAAAAACATTTACATGAAGATTAAAAAAGTTGTATTTAACATTTTAGGTTCTTGATTTTATGTGCAAATTGTAACTACTGTATATATGCGACAGAATGCTGACAAACTTTCTCACTACATTACATGCTTGGAACATAAAATGTATTTAAAAAAAAAAAAATCCCACAAATCCAAATAATATTTAACTCAAAAACTTTAGCCTACTAATTTGTCTGCAGTGTATTTTTAACGATAAGTCCACTTTTGTTTGCTGAATCCTTAGAATAAACAAGTCTTGAAAGCACTTTTACAAGTGTCAGGAAACACTACAAGAACTGGCACGGTGGGTGCCAGATTTCCATATACAAGGAACTGACTAAAATGGAAAAGCACTGTTCCCAGCAAAGACTGGAAATGGTCTCTCTTGACACACTTTAATCCTGCTAAAAACTTGCATCCAAATGCTTCCACCAATATAACTCTATAAAAGCACACACCTAATAGGTGTTTGCACATGCCAGGATATTACCATGATACCCCAAAAGTGCCCCCTAACTCAACTGTACCCTATATGTGATGGCTGTATCCAGCTGTGACACACCTCCCTGCCTTTCTTAATACAATAAGCCAAAGGAGGGAAGCTTCATGCAGGCAAGGAGGAGAGGGTTTCTGCATAATGGGTGCCTTAGCTACCAAGGTTCTCAAGATAATAAACTAAAGTAGCAAGTACCTGCTTTTATATGCTTTTCAAACTATTTGTAGTAGTGCCTGGTTTATATTGGCAAAGCTGATATTTATGTTTCGATAGGAGAATGAAACACATCTCTGACCATATGTGTAGATGACTGCTGTTATTACAATGTTCTATCAGTCTCAGATGAATATTTAGCCCTAAAAGATGCCATAATGCCTGTGTTTGCTGCTCTTGTTATATACATTTTCTCCTGACTTCTACTTGTCTATTTATAATGTGATCTGCTCACAGATATCAAACATATTGTTCCTTGTCAACTGATAAATATGCTTTACATATTGTTTTCCCTTTTTCTATTCTGTTACAAAAAAAAAAAAAAAAAATGAAAAACTTTGTAACTTTTCAAATAACTACAGTGAGTCCCCTACTTACAAACGGCTTCCGTTCTGAGAGCGTGTTCTTAAGTCGAATTTGTTTGTGAGTCTAACAAAGTTAGCCTAGGTGCCAAGCTACATCAATGCTGCTTTTATGCTCGCTTCCGGACACATGAAATAAAGATACTGTACTACTGTACTCTATACAATATTGTACAGTAAAGTACACAAAAGCGCACACACGAGACAATGTATGTCAGGCACGTGACCTTACATGACTGGACTTGCGAACGCATGTTCATATCTTTGAAAGTTCGCAACTTGAATGTTTGTATGTAGGGGACTTACTGTAATTGAATAAAAGTAGCGAAAGGTATACTCTGGATTGTTTTTAAGTAACAGTACTATTTTATACACAGGTAGGAGAAACCATAAAACATTTGATAGAATAACGCAGACAACAAAATGGTGAGTATGGTGTCCCCCTAAAATGAGGGTAACCGCTTATAAAATAATGTAAATATTGGTCACTGTATGCATACTGAAGTGTTCAGAGTCCCGGGTATTAAAATAGGCACATGACAGAAAGGAAAGTTTCTACACTATGATGAATTAACTTACCTTGCGGACATGGAACATCCTGCAGTCACAACACATCTCACAAAACCTTGGAAGGATTAACCTTTCTGTTATATCCTTACCCACCATTGACGCCATTTTACACATTATCTAAAGAAAGAGAATATGCATATTTACTATAACACAGGGCCGATCACAATTACCAGCAAACAGTAACCATATCCATTTGGATATGGCCATTTATAGCTTAGAAAGCTGTATTAATTTTCCCCCAGTAGGGTCCACTATGGCTCAGGACATGCATGCTTCTAGGCAGGGACTGCCTAATCATTATAGAGAGTGCGAGTGAGCCAAGCAGCCCAACACTGCACATCATACCATTGATAACTACAGACTGCTTTATATAGTTGTAAACACTACAATTCCCCACATGACTAGAAATTAGTATAAAAATAAACAAACTACAAGGTCAACCAATGGCTAACAGAACATTGCAAGGTGAAACTAAAATGTTTGAGTAAACCACAAAATGTGTTACGTGTTACCTAGCTCAGTAAACTAAAAAAAAGAGAAAAAAAAAAAAAAATGTTTTAATTATAAACAATATAATTAAAAGAAGTATAGACTCCAGAGAGAAACAGGCATAATTTAGTTACCTGTCACTTTTAGATTTGTTGTGGCTTCTACTTCCACTGGTAAAAAAGGGGACAGGCTAAATTTATATGTGATTAACAACTCCACTCTGAATTTTCCTATTGAACGGATCAGTAATTGACAGCATTACATATTTGTCAGTGTCAATGACAAAGGCAGCAGTTTCCATCTTGTTTGTAATCATTAAAGCTCAGAGAATTCTAAGACTTTTGGATACAGTAGAAAAGGATTACAACTTCTGCGAGGCCTTTACTGCTCTATGTGCTCCCTTTATCAACACATTCTCTCTTGATTTCATAATTATTTTTTTACCAACCGTGGCAATTATAAATTAGATACGGATGTCATGCAACAGAGGATGCCATGGTGATTATGGAGGAGATTAAATGGAAACAGGTCAGTTTTGTGGTGTGAATATTGGTGCATTTTATGTGCGCCAGATTAACAATGTTATAAGACAAGTGCTTTGTTGTGTTGTACCAGCTGCACCAAATCAAGTTAAAAGTGATATGCAACAGTTTCAATAAATATCCGATCAAGTGCACCAAAATAATGAAGCACTCGTGCCAGTGTTCCAATTTGAAAACAGTTCTATGATATGCACCATTATCCTGCAGCAAGGATTAGCTCTGCAGGAGGGAGAAGAGAGTGGGATGTGAATGGACGTTCAGTAAGGTGCAGCAATGCAGAAGGAGAGGAGAGAAGATAAGGAGAAATTTAGGGTGAGCCCAGTGGAAGACTGCCTCAGATTTACACCAAAATGTTTGGGCATCCAGGAGTAAGTGTATTTGAATCTGCTGGACCACTACCACACAACAATTAATGAACTGGTATTCATTTGTCCCAAGAAGCACTAATTAAAACAGGCACCTAGAAAGTGGCACTTTTTTGGTGTGAGCCATGTGGAGGGTCATGTTTCCAGCACTTTTTCTTTGTCACTTGTTTTGTTGAGCCCTCAGACTAAGGCTCACTATGGGGTGCTGGCTTTATCCATCTTATGAGCTATAATATGGTAGCCGCGATTCCCTATAAGTGGCATCCAGGTTCAGGTGCTGGACGGATTTGTCTATAGTTTAATTCCCCCACCCCCATGGTGAATTTTCTATCTAATAAAAGTATTGGTCTTTTCAGCAATCGTCAATTACTGGGTATTTCATTCAGATATCTGAGGTTTGGGCATTACAGTGTCTCCAGCGTCCTCTAGACCTGCATTAAGCTTTAAAGTACAAAAGTTTGTACACAAACAACTGCCTATTTTACAGGTCTGACAGCCTTTAGGTCTGAAAATCAATACTGGTAGCTTTAAAATTATTATTTCTTAAAGGTTCACTTAAATCAATATGCCATATAAAAAACATAAAAACAAAGAATATATTTTAAAATGGTGAGAATAACCTAGGGGTCTATTTTGCATCCAACAATACAGAACAGCTACATTAATACATACAAAACCATTCAACCATATGTTTCGGTGGCATTAACTGACAACGCTCAAGTCAGAACGCAGAATGGCTGAAACTCACCGCCACAGCTTCGGTCTTGACATCATCATTGCTGTCTGGAGCAGTTAGATCTATGAGCACTGGACATACTTTAGTCTCTACATCCGATCTCTCTATAAGCTCCTGCTCAAGTAGCACTAGCAATGCTGCCTGGCTGGTCTTTCGGACCTGAAACGGTGACATATAATCAAACTGGGAAGAAAAGATTGAGTCAGATTTCTAATAAATTATGATTAGATTATTCCACCAAATACATACAAACTCCAGCAACAGTTATTGGGAAGCCACAGGAACAAATCACAGACACAGCTAGGTAAACAAACTTTTGTTTTTTTGCGGTATAACAAAAATATGGATATTATTGAAGCAAAACAAAAACTGTATTGATTTTGAATTTGGTACCATTAAAATATGTACCGCTAAACAAAACAGAAAGCTAATGATTATTGAAGCAAGGCAAACAGGCACCATGAAAGGTGTAAATGTCGAATGTGAATGAAAAGCTGTGTGCATAACACAATGCAAATCCCAATTATTGTAATACTGGTCACAAACACTGAAGAAAAAAAAAAAAAAAGTCTGGTCTTGTGTTCAAATATCACCTTACTGGCAACAAATACACCAGCTATTGATACAGACTCTGGGCTTTGATCTGCCTTACCTACCAAATTTCTACCTCTGGTTTACTATACCAAATCATATGATGGAAACACCTCACACAACTATTATGGCCATGTTCTTTTATGCCAGAGAGGTAATTTTAGTTGAGTCGAAGAACCCAACCACTTTGTACATAAAAACCATCCTAAATCGCATTACAGTGAGGGGGGGTCATGGTTACCAACAGTTCCAATTCTAGTATATGAATTAAACCGACTTAAGAAAGGCTTTGAACTAAAAAGTGCTGAAAGTGTATTAATGTATTTTGACTTCTTTATATTAGAGTTTTGGGTTCAGTAGACAGAGACCAGTGTGCGAGTGTGAGCATGAGTGAAAGTACACACAGAAGTATGTTGCTTCAATAGCCAAACTTTATTGTTGACCTGGTTTGTTTGTACTGAAAATATTTATAAAATAAAACATCTTTCAAAAAAAGAAAAGGAAAAGTCGACATACTTGAAATAAAATATACTACAAAACGAACCTGGTTATTTTGGTCAGCGAGATATCGCACTACAATGGGTAGAAGGTATTTGGAGAAAGCATGGGGAATGGTAGGCCTGTTCTCTTGACAGAACATTGCAAGGTGAGGCACTTGTTCCATGAGTTCGGCACGTACTGTGGGCTCTGTCCAGAGAGATGAACAGCAAAACTTAAAATCTTTATACTAAAAATTCTACAGTACACATGGCAAAGGAATCTAAAATCAGAAATTTTCAGCTAGTAAATATTTCAGGTAGTATTTTAACATTTACAAGAATGTAATCTTCAAGTAAATGTTACTTCCACATGTAATTAACTTGCATGCTGTTACATAGTTAAGAACTAGAGGTGCACTAAAATGAAAATTTGAAACCAAAAACAACTAAAAAAAAATTCGGCTGAAACCGAAAAGTTCTTTTTCCTAACCTTTTTAATTTTTAAATATTTTATTTATTTTTTAGGAATATTTTTATTCTTTAACTTTACTATCGGGGGCTCTGGGGAAATATCCCTTTTATAATATATCCAAAATAGAAGAGATTGAGGACTGTGTCCTCCAATCTCTTTTTCTGCAGTCCTGTTATAATGAACAGGAGTCCTCTAGAAGAAGTGTTCCTGTTCATTCATAACTTGTGGAGATAGTATGTTTGCTGTATCCACAATCATGAATAAACAGGAAGTGATGTAGATCACTTCCTATTCATTCATAATTGGGGACAAAGTAAACATACTCTGTCCTCAATTATTTACAAGCAGTCATCGATCACTGATCGCTGACTGCTTGTACCGGCTCTCCATCCTGACTCGCTGTGACAGGATACGGAGCGGCGGTGCGGGGAGGAGAGCTTGGTCTATTTTGACAGCTGTCTCCTCCCCCACACTGCCAGCTCAGCCTACGGAGACTGTCTCTGCCCCAGCACCGCCGCTCTCCATCCTGATTTGTCACAGGAGGCTGAGCGGGGCGGTGCGGGAGGAGAGCCAGGCCTCTTGTGACACGCTGACTGCTCACAGTGCTCTCCTCCACTGGACCTTTCTGCCTCCAAAGGCACTAACTTAACCGTGTGTTTAATAAATGACTAATAAAGGAGAGAGTTTCAGGAGATGCCGGCTTTAATTTAATGGGACCATCTTACATGGTAAAGCATTCCAAAAAAAAAAAAAAAGGATTTTGCAAGGCGTCACATTGCAAATATCTTCACTATTATCAGAGTTAATGAATGCAAAGAAATTAATTAGAACCTGGTTTCCAGGGCTGGGCCAACAACACTACGCAGCCACTGAATAAATGGCTGATCCCTAAAAGTTATTGGCACCCAGATGCTGGGACACAAATCCCTTTCAGATGGTACTACTTTGTGGCTAGTGGGCGTTTACCAGAGCAGTTCCTGCCTCACTACCAGAAGTTATGCATGCAGAAAGCGCTGAGCACTTCGGACACTTTGTTAAATGTGCTGCGGCCGTTTACGAACTGGTGTTCCGTTGCCTTGTAAACGCGTTACTTCCAGCATTGACGCAAGAGCTGTGTTAAACACTCACCAGCCAAAAAGTGTAACAACCTAAAAGGGGATTGCAGTTACGTGTCCATGAAGGAAAGTATTATTCATCAATTGATTTTTATTATTGTGATCATAGAAATTAAATACAAGGTTCCTTTTTAATGACTTAAGGCAGCTACTTTAAGCATATTACACTCACGTCTAACTTATATCTGACTGAAACTCTTTTATTGGTCTCTTTAAAAGTGGGCATTTTGACATGGGCAGCAGTCAGGCTTGGGATTCAGTTGCTCCCTAGGCCAACCGATAGTTTAAAATAACAAACATAGCTGAAAGCACCACAAGATACCAGCATTTGGACACGTTTCATAATCATACCACCAGTTTTACTTTATGCACCACAATACAGACTGCAAATGCAGTCATTATACAGTTACTCAGTTCATATCAAAACATTACATCCTGTAGTAGGAAGTACAAGTTACTGATGTGCTGTAAAACAAAACTACTTCCAAATAATTTGAAGTGTGCTGGTGACATGCATTCTTTAAGAACAATTATCTAATCTATAAAAAGGTAATACAAGGAAAACTAAAGTGTTTTTTTGATCAGTTTTAACATTTTTTTTGGGACTTTACCAATATTTGTCCAATTTTATTAAATCCTTACTTTGCAAACAAACATTTTACAGAGGGTGATTCCATGCATGCTGACCTAATATGAAAGCCCAGCATTAGCTCTGTTGTTGCCGACTCTCCAACAAACTTCAAGGAAACTTGTACTGAGAGGAATATGATGCAGCCAACTGTTGATCTACTTCTGGAAATACCGGCTGCCTCTGTCTTTGATATTTTGTGTCACAGACAAAGAACAAGCATCAAAAAAGTGAGACTAATGCCAGAACTCCTAATCTGCTTATTTGTTCTGAGTCAGGGAGGACAACAATGGCAGCATCCATACTTTCTCGGTAGCTTTTTTTTTTTTTTAAAGATCGCTAAACAATGAGATAGGACGAGATTGTGCCTCTTTTATGTCATTTAGTCAACTCTTTTAGCTATGTGTAACCAGAGATCCTTACAACAAAACATTACAGCTGAACTCCTGGAAAATGTTTAAAAAAAAAGCCAATTAATTCAGCGATGTGTTCATTAAAAAGAATTATATGAATTTACTTTGTATTGGCCTCTTGCAATTGTTTGTAGAGCTTAGCACAAGCTGGGAGAGGAAACAAGCTGGGAGAGGAATCAAGCTGGGAGAGGAATGGGAAGCTCTAGGTGCCAATCAGGAGTGCTGCAGAGCTCACGTGCTGACAAGGAACATGTCAAAGAGAGAACTGAAATTAATTTATCAATCGGCTTCTTCTTCTCTACTGTCCAATGACAAGCTTAGGGTGGGAGACCTAGCTGTATTAGTGAGTAAAGCTAGGCCACAAGTCTGGCAGGGTTGTAAAAATATTAGTGCTGGACAGAAATACAAATCCTATTGTAAAACAGCCGTCGTGTATGTATTTCAACTGCATGTTGAGCCATTTGCCTGGAGTTCAGCTTCAGACAGCAGTTTTACACCATTGAGCACATGACTCATACTTGCTGGCTACAAATGGGTAAATATGATGAATTTTAAATGCATCATTTTATATTCACCTTACAAAAAAAAGTAATTTCCTTAATTAGCTACCACTAAAACCTATCCCTGCAAATATAAAAAGCGTCTAGCTTACAGGCACCAGAGCCTTTTTTCCTCTCTGTGCCCACGATATCTGTTATAAAACTGACTGACATTACATTTGGAGACCAACATTATAATATTTGTGCAAAATGAATGCCACTGCTGCTTTTTTGTTTCTACAGCTGTTTGAATTTTTATGGGCCAAGTCTGCACCCCCAGTTCAAATACTTTGTGTTTGGCAAGGATTATGCTTCCAATGCCAGATCTCGAATTGCATGTTTGGCAGGTCAGTAACCAGAGGGGGCATTATGCAGGTGGACAAGATTATGTAGGCACAGAAGGATACATGGAATGAGAATGCATCACGTACACTTGTTTTAGCAAATAAAGTGTATTGTTTAAATGGGAAAAATACATACCAGAATCATCTGACAGCTTTGTAACCCTCTCTAACACAGAAATACAGTCCTTCTCGTCATCACTAACTTCTTTTAAGGTGTCTAGCAAACTTCGGGCCACCATTTGTCTAAATGAAAAACACAGGAAATAAGATGATGCTTGCAAGGAAACAGGGTGTGGTGCACAAAACCCCCCCCCCCCCCCAAAAACAGCCTCACTGTTACAGATCTTAATTTACTAGCAAAAGAAAAGATACAAAATATTTACTGTATGTCAACACAAGGCTTAAAAGTGACACTAAACTCCAGGGCTAAATCTTGAAAATGCGTTCAAGCACCTTAAGCCCTCGTTCACACCTGAACGTTTTGTAGCGCGTTCTACGCTCGACGAACGCTCTACAAAACGCTGTAAAAAACTCTCAAAAATATCAATCCCATTGTATTCAATGGTCTCGTTCCTACCTTGGCATATTTGCGCCCGTCCCTAACGCGCTACAAAACGGCCCACGCCTGAAAAGGTACATGTACTACTTTGGGCCGTTTTGTTGCGCGTTTCCATTGGGATACAGCCAAGTAGCCTTCGGAAACGCGCGTTTGTCGCGCGACTTTTTACAGCGAATCACGGTAAAAAACACGCGACAGACACGCATATGCAATACGCCTAGGTGTGAACGAGAACTTACTATTAACAAAAAATTTTAAAAACAAAAAATGATACACAAAAACAAAAATCTTATTTGTGCATCACTGTAGATCCTCAAATCATCTCTGGATTCATGCCGACACTGTCCTTCCTTCTGGAGGGCGACTACTTTTGTTCCCCATGGTCCCTGCGTGTGTTGTAAGGCAGTCCCTGCTCCAAGCTTGCTCCCGGAACACATCAAAAAACACGGCAAAAACGCGGCACAACCCACTGCACTGCGTGTGCAGAAACTCATGCAGATCTGGTCTGCATTTGGTGTGAACAAGCCCTCAGAGATGGTTTGAGGATCTACAGCTGAGTGATACACAAATAAGATACATCTTTGTTAATAGTTAAGGTGCTTGAATGCACTTTCAAGATTGAACTCCAGAGTTGAATCTAACAAATATAGCCTTAAATTAAAATACTAGTTGTATCCAAAGGAGGATCATGCAAAGAGAAAGTGAACTGGATGGTTGCTTTCTTGGCACACATCAGAGTGGGTCAGCTGGCTGAAGAGGCATATTTTCACTGGGGCTGTGGCTAAATAAGCAGTTTTACATTCCGAGAGCACCGAGTTGTTACTGGTCTTTCATGGCAACTAAGCAGCATTCTAAAATCACAAGAAAAACATTTCCAATTATGAATTTACAATTTCAAATTTTGAAAAAGGCTTTAAACATCAAGTTTATTTATCAGAGACAGTGCATGGCACCTACTGCCAAAAATGTTCAGACATGGTCACCGAGTAAAGGACAAATGCTTCAAAATTGGCCAAGGATTCTTTAAAGCAATTTCCCAAACTAAACTTCTTAGTACATATCATAAAAATAATCAAAAGATCTATGCTCTTCTTATCGGTTTGTGACCTCGGGCTATGACTTTTATCTATGTCTTTTGACATTGTCTTTTCTGTTCCCTGTGGTTTGTTCGTTTCTTTGCTCACTATTACTTGGCTGTAATGAGTTTTCTCTTGTCTTCTCTGTGCGTTTTGTTTTTCTATTTATAGGTTCTTATCCTAGTTTCGGTATAGAATTGTAGAATAGGTATTGTAAAAAGAAAAGAAAAAAAAAAAGTTTTACTCGCACGTTGGGGATCCAGTCATTAGGAGTGTTACGTGATTTGGCAGGGCGGTTATGAAACAAAACATTTTTGGATTGTGTTTTTAGGAATCATATGCACCTGTCTTTCTGTATATGCACCTTACTGATTGTGTCTTATGTTGCTCTACTGTGTGAGATTATAAATACATTTTAAAAAATTATAATCAAAAGATATCATAGTGCACTATAAACAATTCACAATGCCAAAATTTCTGGGTCAGAAAAACAAAAAACATCTATATCAGTACAAAAAAAAAAAAAAAAAAAAAATTACAACAAAAACCATCAACATTTATCCTGCAAAACTGTAAGTACATTAGCTTTATGCAAATAAACTATATGTTGTGATAATTGGGCAATATCGAATGTTTTTAGGCTCAATTTTTCTTCTGCTCAAATGTTCTTAACATATTAAGGGCAGTAGTAAAAATAAAGCTAAGGAGAAGTATTGGGAGAGTAAAATGTACTCTTTCCGAATACTTAAAGCCAGAGTGGCACACTTTAGCTGTCACATGCTAGCTCTATATCAGGTGCTCAGCGATCGTGTGAATGCTGACCGCTCTTCTCCCTTCAGTGACTGTGAACCACTCCTCCCTGCAGGGATTCCCTCCTTCCCTCTATGTTCCTGCATCACTCACTGGAAGGACAGATAGTGGTTGGCTCTAGAGTGGCAGAACTAGCTGTCAATTAGGTAGCCGCGTGGAACCCAACAACAATCTCAAGGTCCTTCCCGGCTGCAGCATGGATCTCTGCTGGCAGCTGACAGCGGGTAGTTAGTAAATGTACTCCTGTGACCCAAAGGAAAAAGTACAGCCAAACAAGTGGCGTTTTACTTCTCTTTTCATTCATAAAGAACATAGAATGAAAAGATGCAATGTAACAATTCTAAAGAACAGAGAGAGTTAGCAAATACATATATATTTCTATTACAGGAATCTGCAGTCCATACGATAAGTTTGGGAAATATCAATTACCTTGGAACCAGTTGTAGTTTGCTGACATTTTCTGCTGGGTAATAGGGAGGTCATTATGTCGCCCATAAGAAGGGACCCTGTGTGGCTAGGAAACATTGGCTGTATGGCACATGTGACAGTTTAATAAAAAGTGCTTTACTTGCACATATAATGGAGTGCTGGTGACTTCTATTATGGACTGTATCTGACACAGCGCCCTCCATGTTGTCACTTCAAGCACCAACCTTCCATTAAAGGTATGTATGCTGTATGGAGTGCACGTGATGTTGTTTTATCGACTGCTCTCCATCCTGACTCCTCAGCCTGTCACAGGAGGCAGAGCAGGGTGGTGCAGGAGGAAAGCTCGGCCTCCTGTGACAGCTCTCCTCCCAGCAGCACTCCGCACGGCCTGCTAAAAGCTTCTCTATTCCCCACTGGCACTAGCAGCTGGATCCTCTCCGTCTCTACCTACACAGGCGGGGGGAGAGAAGCCGGCATCGGAGGAGACACAGGCCGGTGCCCAGCTGGGAGAGAGAAACTAGGGATACCCTGAATTTTCGCTCGCATTTTCGGCCCAATGGACTATTGGCATTTTGACCCAAGTACCATTTTCGGCCGAAATATTTTGGCAACCTGAAATTTTCGGTGCATACCTAGTAATATGAATAACAAGGATATTTAATTTGTATAACACTATTCATGACAAAAAAAGTTTACAAACTGCTTTCCAGGAAAAGAATGACAGTACAAAATACAAATAAACATTAGAAGGGACAGTTGATATGTTTTAGGTACTGCGGTAGCGCATGCTGAGGTGTGGTCGATCGCATTGGACAGGAGGTGCGTTTGGGGTGTATTGGCAATACAATGCACCTCCCTCACTGTAATGCATGGTAGGTGCATTCAACAGTAGCATGCATTAGTTGCACTGAATGTGCGACTAACGCATTGCCCTGGTGTGACCCTCAAGATACTTTAAAAAATAAATAATCAAGAACGTCAGTCACACAAACTATTTGAAAGATTTCCAGATCTTGAAACTATTACAGCAAAAGTCTATTAATAAATATTCAATTTAGTTCTGGCAGCAAACAGTTATTCAGTATAATATATATTTTTTTTATTAGTGGGGAATAGGCCGTGCAAATCTGTTTGTCAACATGCTAATGAAATATTTAAATACAACCTTTCCATTTTCATTACATGCCTTATCCTTGCCCCAGTAATGTCATCACTGGATCTATGTGCTTCTCTATGCAATGTAGGCTGATCATGGCTGGTGGGAGAGGCCAGCAGAGTGTTGTACGCAACTTCCTGAAAACATCACAACACCCAGCTTCAGTACTCTTTTTCAAGAGCCCTGATTCAATCAGTGGGCTGGCTCTTGCGAGGACTTTTTCAAATTTAAAAAGCATTGATGGGCAGATGTTAGTCTTGGAAAGTGGCCATTTAAAAGGCAGACACTATTGGCATGCTGACTGCCCTCAGTGTCTGCCTGTGATGCCGAGCCACCAACATTGAAAGAACTAAAAACCAATTAAAAGGGCTGGCCAGGGACAGCCCTTTTCATTGGATTTTAGTTGTTTCAATGTTGGCGACAGTCAGGCTTGGGAGGAGAGAGATAAATGATGTTGGGTGTGAGATTGCCTGTCTAACTTGTTGCAGCTTCTAGCGCACATTGTGAGAAGCTCATAGAGAAATCAGAATAAGCAATTTCAGTACAGGAGAACAACTGTGCAAGACTGAAGCCAAGGCTGGAGTTCAGCTTTAAAAGATACACAGAAGAATCAATTCTAAAATATTGTTTTCCAAAAAAAGGAGTAATATGATAAAGTTAGAACTGGTTTACCCCCCTCCACCACAACTTATTACTGACCTGCCTCCGCAATGGGCAGCCTAACTAACCAAAAGTGAAGTACCTGGGGGACTTTAATAGCAGAAGTTGTAATCCGTATAACCCAGTGAGATGGGTTTCAAGGCTTCCGGTGTGCTCATGCAGATGTGGCAAGGCTCACTTATCTGATCGGTTTAATAACTTTTACAAAAAGACAAGTTCATTTTAAAAGACATTTCACAAAAACATCAGTAGATTGTATGCACATGCTAGGTCATGATAATGGATTTGTGAACATACCTGTTAAATATGTTTTCACTTGCAGCGTACTTGTCCAGCCTTCCAAGTGGGGTCAACATTTCATCTTGTGAGACAAAGTCCAGGGCTGAAGGTATAATAATCACATCAGACTCTGAGCTGTAGTCATCCACACCAACTATCAGAAACATCAGAAACATAACTTGAAAATTCAGTTACATTACACTAGAAAAAACTGGCATAGTGCTGCAGAAAAGATGTATTGCTGTGGACTGCTCTGGGCAAAAGACCATCCCCAGCTGTGCCAGAATTATCTAAAAGGCAACATATTGGACTTATTTTACCAGGGCACACACTTGTCCAGAACTAGACTAACAAAAGCATTACCTCGAATATGCTCAGACTGGGCAAAATATGTTATAATTTATAGAGGACCTTCACCCGCCAATTTATTGTCTCCCCAGACAGCTACTTTTGAGGCATGCCAACTGTCAAGGTTGCCATTGTGCTTATTTCGGCTCTCAACTAAACTTCCAAGTCCTCAAATGGCTGGTGTCATAGCTGATCACATGTGCAGCACCATGGCAACTGCCATCCAAATAAGAGGCTAGGATGACACCTTCCTTGGCTGTAAGGGATAAGAGGGGGTAGGTTCTGCTTTAAAAGTCCAACTTCAGCCAAGGGGAAGGTTTAAAGCCTGTCAATTTTTGGTTACCGACTTTGTCCCCATTTGGGAGACTTCATTAGGACAGAACAGGAAGTGTGGGGAAATTACTCGGAAAAAGAACACACAAAGCAGGAGAAGGCTTACTCTGGCCCTCCAGCTGTGGTGCAACTACAAGTCCCATCATGCATCTGCCTCTAGAATTCACGCCTTTGGCTGTCAGTCTTGCCTAATGGGATTTGTAGCTGCCCAACAGCCGAGGGCTGGAGTTTGCCTACCATGACATAAAGCAATACAAATTCAATGCAAGTCAAGTGAGAAAGGTTTAGAATCTCTGTCAGGATGTTGTGCATCAGACAGAATAAAGCTGGCCGTACACTGCTTAGATTTTCAAAAGAACTGTGTAGAGACAACAAAAACTCCAAAAGGAGCAGGGAGGAACATTTTTCTGGAACAAAATTCTAACAGTGAATGTGGTTTTCGTTCTGGAAACTCCATTCATTTCCAAAATTGACCTTTAAAATCAAACTAAATTTCGATCGACATTCATCAAATGTCTGATGGCAGTATTGGGTGGTAAAGAACGATCTTTCATACGAAAGTTTGTTCGGAAATCTACCAGTGTATGGACAGCTTTAGTGAGGGAAAACCTCTTCAACAGGGAAACACAGCATATTCAAAGTTGACACTTTCCCAGTGTCGAATAGAACGTTTGGAGTTTAAATAGCAATAAACATGAGGGCATCCAGATCACTATTGTAAATAAGCTTCAAATATTATGTTAAAAAAATGAATTTGCCTTTCTTGTCAATATTTTCTTCATTAAAATATGCATGTTTGCTGTCTGGCTTGCTATTATAACAGAGTATGAAATTAGAATGCTAGCAGCATGTTGTGCACACGCTTATCCAAGTAGGTTTTGACTTCACTGATGGACATTTTATTAGACAACATTTTTTATAATAAAACACAACAAAATCGCAGTCAAAATGCAGCAAAAACGCAATGCAGCGCATTCCAGATCTGGTCCGGAGAATGGTGTGAGGCAGGCCATTAAAATTAATTGGCTGGCAATGCACCCTAATATCCATAAAATCAGTGTGACCTTTATCTGAATGTGTCTAATCACAGCATGCTGCAAAACAGGTGCGTTGCTCTAATGTGCTGTGGTGCCATTTATTCTGAATGGCACCTCAATGCAAGCAGCATGCGTTGCCGTGTATTACCGCAACACAAAGATGTAGATTGGCCCTAAAAGCACATGTGTCAAACTCAAGGCCCAGGGGCCAAATCCAGCCCACCAGGCCATTTCCTAGTCTTCTACTTTCAGATCAAGGTATTAAGTTATTACTAAAGCCAGTGATAATCGAATGCAGAGGCAATTATGATAAAGATTAGATACATTTATATAGTCTTACAGGCCCTCTGAGGGCAACCATAATGTTGATGCGGTGCACGATTAGATTTAGTTTAACACCCCTGCCCTAAAGGAAACATGTAGACAACACGAATTTGTAGTCTGCCATTGCTGTCCTACTCAAAATGCTAGTCACCTGGCTGTCTCCAGCCTCAATAGTTTGAATTACGGACACAAAACAGAGATGTGCAGAAAGTGAAGTCAATGGATCGGCATGACAGAAGACAATTGGCATTATCAAACGTAGAAGTCGATACAGCAAAAATATTTACCTAGCACAGATTTCCTTGAACACTATACTGCTAGAAAGAATACTACTCTTAGATAAGCCAAAAATGAATAGCCATTGCTAGGACAGGCTTGGATAATAGCCAGCACTAGGAAGACATCTGCTTCCTACAGGGGAGGCACAACTTCTCCTCAACTATACAAAAATATTGTTGTCATGTAAACATGCAAACCAGTGGGGTGTGCGGTGTGTGAATTACAACACGTATTCAAATCTTCTCAAATATTTATAAAAATACCACACATTTTCAAACAATGACGCTAACATATAAAAGAACAACCTGTCACCATACTGCAGAGGAAAAAACATTGGGTTAGAATTTCAAACGTGGCCTATTTGCCATGTCACATCACAAAACAGCCCAAGTATATCTAAAGCAATTATTCTTTTACATTTTATATAGAGTAGGGAAAGTAACCCCTGTCAGGCTGGGTATTTTTTGCCACTTGTGTCCCATTGAAGAGATTTCCCTTCATTCCCTGTCCTAACAGGAAGTGAGAGAAAATACCCTCTTCTTTTCACATGGGCAGTCTAATCAGATCCAGTTTTTAGGTGGATCGGATCAGAAGCCCAATGTTAGTCTATGGGCTGGCAAATATAAATGGACAAGTGCCTGTTTACATCCGATTACCTCAAATTCCATCTGGGTCTGAAAAAAGAAGAAAAGAGTTCCATGATGGATTGAAGGTAAAAGGATAATGGACCAACATCCGTCTGTCCGTGGAGCTAACATGGATCCGTTTAGTTCTGTTTTCTCCTCCATCGCAAGAAGGAGAAAAAAACATAACGGACACGGATGTAACAAAAGTGACATGCGTTCCATAGGGCTCCGATCAGCACAATATCTGTGCATGGATCCCCTGCTGATTGGAGACAGGCGCTCGTGTGAAAGGGGCCTTGTCACTGCAACAAGTGTTCCCTTGTGGAGGAAGATTTCGTCCCAGTGGAAACTTTGACCATAATAAAACGTTAATGCGTGTATGGACCATGCTAATAAACTAACAGAGGCCCTAAACTTTCCCCACTTCATCCAAAACAGAGAAAACCTTCTAAATAAAACACTTTAAACTTGCTATCAAACCCCATTTTACATTTGTACTGTATGACATCTGTGTATAGCACATTTGTACTTGGCCTAACATGGTAGACTTTTACCACTTTGTAATTTATACTCATGACCAGACCTGTCTCTATACCTCTGAGTGAGTCACATCATAAACCAAGAAACAAGATCACAAAGAAAACAGGAATTGGCCATAGGAGACATGTAAAGTAATGACTAGGTGGAGATGGACTGAGTAACTGAGGTGTTTAGCCAAACAAAGTCCTCTCTTACAAAGTCACGTAAACAGAAATGTAACTTTATGAAATGAATTATTCGGTTAGTTAATAGTCAACTAACAGCAAAACTGGCTGGAGTTGGCTTCACGCCAATGGATGTTAGGGTTGTGTTGGAACAGAGCTGTTTGCAGCAGGCCAGATCGATAACCCTCATGTCCCTGGCATTTCCTTGAGCTATAAGCTTGTGACCACTGCAGTGAAAATATTCTTTGGATAAAAATTTGTGCAGCTGTCATACACAATCAGCACCACCATCTTTTTATTCCATCAGTCCAGTGGCTTTAGAAAATCTATGGTTTGGGAATAGGGGAGGGGTCCCAAATGCTGAAAGCGTAGTGAGAAAAGTAAAAAGTATTTTTTAAAAATGTAACCATGGACTGGTCACCTGAGGTGAAAAATGGAGAGCAGGGCCTGGCAGTGAAAGGTTTAAAAGGAGAATTATGAGGCGAGTGATTTTCACTCAGCCTCGCAATCTGAGCCGACCTGTGACAATGAAACTGTCACAAGTCAGCTCAGTAAATTGGGAAGTGAGCGAACACATACCGGCGCTCGCTCACTCCTCGATCTATCTGTGCAGAGAGCCGTGACAGAGGAGGGACTGGATTCCCCTGTCCGATCCTCCAGCGCTGAGTGGCGGAACGGACAGGGGAGGGGGCGGGTACAGCTGCCTCTGCCTCTAGATAGGCAGAGCCAGCTGTCACTCACGCAGCTGGGTGGATCCAGACAGTAATGTCGGGATCTGTTCCGGCTGCGGCGTCTCAGTATACCGCGAGCTGTAGCTCGCGGTATACTGAGATTTGGGTGACGGGAGGACGCTAGTTTGTGTCCTCCCATTACCCTTAGGAGAACTATGGGGGAAAAGCCCTAACCCCATAGCTCTCCTTTAAGGTGTATCCACCCAAAACATTTGTTTTTTAAGATCTGGACAGAATAGGGAAAGGCTAGAACTAGTCAGATGTACTGCTATCCGGGGGCTCCATTACAGAGATTTCCCCTCACTTTCTTTTCTGGGGACAAGTTTTCATCAGACAGAAAATGAGGGAAAATCTAAAACATACAATAATCAGCTGACAGAGCATCGAGCATTCCCCTACTTAACCTATAAAAAACATTTTTTACTTCTGCCTGTGTTGCCGTTAGAGATATTCCCTCCTCTGTCTGTCCTGGGGACAACCTTTTTACCAGACAGGAAGTCTAGAAATGTCTCTCCAATGGAGCCTCCAACTGCAGCAAATGTTGTCAAGAATTCTAGTCCTAGCCCACTATACAAAAAAAAAATGTTGCCAATTAATACACCTCAAGAACGAGATAAAACTTGTGTCATCAGCTATTCACTAAGGACTTGCCAAAAGTAACAGCTCATGAAGTTCTATCATCACGTGCGGTGAGATACAGTTGTACTGCGTCACCCCATGCTGTGCATAGTACCCATGCAGTACTATCACTCAGCGCACACCACCACAACAC